TCTCCACTTTTGTCAGACTTTTGTTTTCGTCTAAGATTTTCGTTACAAAGTCTATTCCCGTACTGTCCTTCTTCACAAGATTTTCCGAGCATTTTCTTATCCAGGCCACTTCTTCCAATACGCCCACAGGCTCTCCTTCTTCAATCGTAATTTCTGAATCACTGAAGTTGAATACCGGAATGCGGTTAACATCAGATGACCCCACGACAGTTCTTGCCGGTAGCCATGAGTTTACGTGTTCCGATTTATCAATCACAGCGCACCTTCGAGGTAAACTTCCTTCCCTCCTCCTAGGTAATGCGATTGGTACGAGAGTCTGTGATTTTGGTGCAAGAACAGTTCTTCTTAAACAGCAAACTTTTCCCAGGGTTCCACCCTTCATCGGAATTTCCTCAGTTCCACATAGTAATACTCCAGATTTTAAGTCGATGTTACACTGGTGCCCTTGCAGGAAGTCAAGTCCCAGGATGCAGTCATCCAGAATTTTGGCCACAATAACCTCATGTCGATAAACACGTTCCCCAATTTTGATTGTTACATGCAGTTTTCCACTTATCGGTATGCACTGGCCGGTAGCTGATTTCATTTGTAGGCCAACAATTGGTTTAAGGTGTTTCCTGATGTTGTGCTCGAGCAGCCGAACATTTATCACCGTCCTTGAAGCTCCAGTATCTAATGTTAGCTGACTGTTGTTCCCATTTACTTGACCGTCTATCACCAGAGTATTTCCATCGTTGGTTTGCTTGATGTAGATTGTTGGGGTTGTTCCACTACCAGCCGGCGCCCACCCCGCAGCCCTGGCTGGATTTAAGTTTCCCTGCTGGTCAGAAGTTGAGACCGCCGCGTCCTTGCGGTTCATCTTCTTCGGGCAGTCGCTCCGTATGTGCCCACGCTCTCCACATCCATAGCACATGAAGTTCCGACGGCGTGGAGGTACCTGCTCCGTTGTCGTCATTTCCCGCAGACGTAAGGTACGGGAGTTGCCACGCACGGCTTCCACTTCCAATGCATGGGCCAGAGCTTCTTTCATGATCTTGTGATGGCCCAGATGAACAGCAGCTCGTACTTCTGGGTCCCGAATACCGTCAATGAACGCTTGGAGAAGCGTGCCTTCAATCATTGACGGAGTCGACCGGAAAGCTCGACGTACAAGTTTCTCGATTTCAAATCAAATCAAATCAAATCAAAATCATTTATTCCAAATAAACCATAAATAGGTACTTTTGAAACGTCAAAATAGAATAGTAGTCTGTCAGTCTGTTCGTCAGTGAAGCTAGGTGCTCGTTCCAAATTGTAGTTTCGAATGGAGAAGAACGAGCAAGAAACTCCATCGTTACTCTTTTAAAAAAAATATTTGTTTTACAATTCATAAATAATACATTTTTTATACATTACTGTACCCCTATGTGAGAACAATGCAGAGACAAGTTGTTAATAAAAAGGAACAAATGATGGTCTATCTATCATTAAAATTTTAATCCTTTGTTGTCTCGAACATGGTGCTCACATATGCGTACTCACAATCCAAAAGAATGCTTCTATATAAACTCATTCAAGGTTTCATTAATTTTGAGAATTTCAATAACTAATGACTACATATTTGAGTATTGTCCAGTGGAGCCGAACCAACATGATGCCAGGCATTCTTGTCCTCAATATAATCTGAAAGTTTGTAGTATGCCTGTCTACATAATTCGCGTTTAATATAAGTTTTAAATTTTCGTTCATTAAGATTTAATACACTTCTTGGAATTTTATTGTAACAATTTACACAGAACCCCATAAAGGATTTCTGTACTTTGGACAGACGGAATCGTGGCACAGCCAGCCTATCTTTGCCTCTTGTATTAAAATTATGTCTATCGCTTCTTTTTTCAAATAATTGCAAATTTTTCCTTACGTACATAATGTTTTCATATATAAACTGACAAGGTACCGTTAGGATATTTATCGTTTTAAATAGTTCTCTCAGAGATTCACGAGGGGGCAAGTTATATATCGCTCGGATAGCCCGCTTTTGCAAAATAAATATTGAATCTACTTCCGCAGCTCGACCCCACAGCAAAATTCCGTACGACATAATGCTGTGAAAATAGCTAAAATAAACAAGCCTTGCTGTGTTCACGTCTGTGAGCTGTCTAATCTGTCTAACTGCAAAAACAGCTGAGCTCAGTCTTCCCGAAAGCGTCTTTATGTGGGAACCCCATTGAAGTTTATTGTCTAGCGTAATACCTAGGAACATAGTCTCGTTAACAAATTCTAACTTTTGCCCATTTAAAATTATGTCACAATCATTACTGTGTACGTTGGGCAAGCTAAATTTAATACATTTTGTTTTTTTCTCGTTAAGTGCTAAATTATTGACTGTAAACCAATTATGAACTTGATGAATGGATCTGTTTACTTCGTCAAAATTATTAACACGTCGACCTATTCTAAAAATTAATGATGTATCATCTGCAAACAGCACCATTCTTGGCTCAGTTTTAAATAGAAATGGCAAGTCATTAACATACACTAAGAAGAGAAACGGACCCAAAATTGAACCTTGCGGTACGCCAATTCTTATCTCAGAGCCCCGGGAGTTAGAACCACCTACATGAACTCTCAGCTGCCTATCCTCTAAATATGACTTTAGTAGACGGAGTGCAGTATGTCTAATCCCGTAATGATCTAATTAATCCCGTAATGATCTAATTAATAATATATATATAATAAATTTCCACGGACCATTGCTGTAGGCTCTCATTAGCACGCTGAGTACGCTCTTTTAATTGCGCTCTGTACACGTGCTCGAGGTGGCTGTCTCCAAAACGTGCTTCAAGTGCGTCGAGGAGGGCACTAAAGCTGAGATCCCCACTTGCGCCGATAGCTTCCAGCACTGAGAGCGCTTGATCACGGAGGGCCAGGGTAAGGGCTGACTGTGCTTCCTTCTGAGTCCAACCATAAGCCTCCATAAGTGTCTCAAACTGTAGCTTGAACGCGGTCCAAGATGTTGTTCCGTCGTAATGGGGAATCTTGAGCCCTTTCGTTGCGCTTGAGGCCACATTTGGGGTGTCAAAAACGGCTGCAAGACGGCTTCGGCTCTTCAAAGGGCTTGGGCTTGCCACTTCCTGTTTGATTTTGGAGATCTCTTCTTCCACTCTCTCCTCTATCGCCATGACGCGATGTTCCAACTTGCCTAACCCTTCCTCCACTTCTTGTACCCGTTCGACAGCCTTTTGCAGTCCCTTCGTGAAATCCCTGTGCATCTCTTCCAAGCGACGCGCTTGCTCCTCTTGGCGGCGAGCTTGATCCTCTTGGCGACGAGCTTGATCTTCTTTCAGCTCCCGAAGCTGTTCTGCCTGAGAGCGTGCTTGCTCTTCTTGGCGGCGCGCTTGCTCTTCTTGGCGGCGCGCTTGCTCTTCTTGGCGGCGCGCTTGCTCTTCCCTCAGCTCCCGCAGCTGTTCTGTCTGACAGCGCGCTTGCTCTTCTTGGCGGCGCGCTTGCTCTGCCATCATTTGCTGCAGCTGTAGCAGAAGATCCACCTGCACAGGCTTGGCTTCTGCATCGCTGGTTTGAGCTGCAGCACCCTCTTCCCTCACACGCTGCGCTTCTGACATAGCACGGGTACTCACTCCTCTTACGTCCTGCGGTACTAGCGGCATTTTTCTCCAATCCCACTTCTGACACCAAATGTTACGTGCCTGACGTCACGTTCCTGACTATGCGGGCTTGGGTTACGGGATTGGATGAAATGAAACACTAATACCGGTTTTCAGACTTTCTATTGCACTTAAGTTACAGCGTCCACGGAGTTAAGTTATCGGCGTTCCTCTCCAGCAGAGTCCGGCCGACTGACACAACTTTGCCGTTCACGCTGACTTAACTCACTTAACTGACTGCACTTCACTATTTCACTGCACTTCACTATTTCACTCACTTTTCTTCTTTCTCACTTCTTCCTTTTCTTCCGAATCGCTTTAGACTTAGAACTCAACTGCCAGCGGTGAGCCGCAGTTCCGCTTATATACCCCCCCGTCAGGTTCTGGAACATTCAATTTCGTTATTCTTTTTGATCGTCATGCCTCCAGAACCTTCCAATAATTTCGTTATTCATTTTTATTTATTCTCCTTCTCGCTCTTTAATTTTTCATTCTTTTCACACAAATAATTCCAGAAAGTTCGACAAAACTTCCATCAACTAAAAAACTTCATGTTTACGGCGGGACTCGAACTCGGGGTCTCTGTGGTGTAATCCAAACGTCTTACCGATTACACCAACTCGTGTTGACAATTCACGACGAAATTTACAATCTCTAGGCAACGTTTGACAACCATCCATTGACGTCATGATGTCTAAGAGTTTGAACCACTTTTCCGTCACAATATTATACATATTCATGTAATCTTATGACAGTTATTCCTTGAAGCTATTGCAGGGTCAGAGTTACGTGTCCAAAAAAAAACACTGCTTCCCGTCCTTAGTAGTTTTCATTTAAGTTTTGGCTTCTTTTGTGGTTGGAAACCTCTAACCTGGGTTGAGGGCGATTTGGAGTATCAGACTAACTGACTAAAAACCAATCAGTACATTATTGCACTTGCACTCTGGACATCTAATAGGCACCATTTGTGGAAATCTGCTGGTTTTTTGAAGCATGCGTATAATGCTTCTGATCTTGCGGCGAGCTTAGTTTGGGCTTTGCCTGACATCGCATTACCAGTTGTAGTTATGTAATACTCCTCTAAATGTCCAATTATATACAAGTCCTTCTTTGAAGACAGCAGCAAGGTAAAATAATGAAAGTGCACTAGGTATAACCATAATCCTTACTTAATATTATAATTGCACGTGTGTTTGCTTAATTGTCTTTCTTTCAAGTCACTTTACGGCCAGTTTTATGGTACCTAATTATGTCTACAAGGCTTATAAGTGATGAAAGCTATTTTTATTTCCATTAATTACGCGGAAAAAGTCATTGCTAATACTCTAAAATTACATAACTTTTTCTTATTTCTAGGTGTCTGTTACGCTGAATTCGCAGCCAGAGTTCCGAAAGCTGGTTCAGCCTACGTGTACAGTTACGTCAGCGTGGGCGAGTTCATTGCCTTCACGATCGGATGGAACCTCATCCTGGAGTACGTCATCGGCACAGCCAGTGTGGCTAAAGGCATGGCCTTGTACATAGACAGCCTGTGCAACAACTCCATGGCTAGAGCCATGACGGAAGCTGCTCCCATCAATATCTCCTTCATGGCTGACTACCCTGACTTTTTTGCTTTTGCCCTCGTTATGCTCATTACTGGTAAGTTACTGATACATTTCTTTAGGTCTATTCACCAATATTATTAACGCGAATATTTGTAATGTAAGGGATGGATGGATGTGTGTCATTCTTTCATGATACGTGAAAACTACTGAATGGATTTCAATTGATCAAAATTGGCACAGAGATAGACATTTGTCAAGTGCTATATGCTACTTATCATCCCGAGGAAGAAAGCACTTGCAAAAGCTACATATATTTTTTCTACTGCTAACATTATTATCAACTGAAAAAAAAAGCCAGAAGACACGAGTAAATTTCCATACCTTCAAATTCACTTTATCAGATTGTCTGTTCTACTTACATCTATGCCTTACCAAGATTGTTTGGTTCCAGTTCTTCTGGGCATTGGTGTGAAGGAGTCAACGAAGCTAAACAACGTGTTCACAGCTTTGAACCTCATCACCGTCATCGTTGTCGTCATTGCTGGAGCCGTCAAGAGTGAGTATAACTTCACATGTAGACCTTTTGTAATACGCTCGGCAAAGAAAAAAGAACTTCTTTAGGATATTTACCTTTGATGGCACAATGTCTTATTACAAAATTTATTTTCAGATTGATATCAATATTTTTTTCCTGTGAGAAAAAAAGACTGACCTCTAACCAATCTTTGTAAAATTATGTCGTTGTGATCATTCTCTCTTGTGTTTTATATGTTCGGTTGCTACCCATTATCATTTCACTTCAATTCTTAAATGGTGCTGGTCTCAATCTGTATATAACTAAAAGAATCATTGATCTATACTATGTAGTGTTAAATTCATTGATGTGTTCTATTTTTAAACGCTGTCATGATTATTTATCATAGGCCATTATCATGATACCAGCCATTTGAAATGGCAATTATAGTTTTTCAATGTCTGACAACTTAATATTACTATGACAGACTTGTGAATTATCAAACAAGTCTCCTTTGTCAGTATAATTGAATTTTGACGTGTAATTTTGGTTAACTATTAGGTAGCCGGCAACATCCGTCCGCTAAATATTTGGCAATATAGTACAACTTATTAGCGTTGATTTAAAATGTGTATTTGTTTAAGTACCTAGGTATTATATTGTTCTATCTTTTGCATTTTTTAGCTGACTTCTTTAAAAGATTACGATTTCCTTCACATGACATTAACACTGTAAGAACGGCCTGCTACTTTTGTTAAAAAAAATATTTAGTTTTGTTATAATCTGTATGTAATCTCCGTATTTTAAAAGATAATCAACACTCTTTGCTTTTTAAAAAAACGATACTGACTTCATTACCGTCTCTTTTTGTGCGTTCAACTTATTTTTTTAAACAAATGTACTCAAGTCTTAATATTTGTAATAAGGAAATAATGCGACTGTTTCCTATTACCACATAGCACTCCAAGTGCATCAGACACAGGTAATATAAACTTCCTAACGCAATGTCCACGTGGAGTCATTAACCAATCTAAAATCCAGATCCTGCTATATCTAACGTCTCCCACGGATGCGAGCCAATTGAGAAAAATGGATCACTGCCCGTCCCTCGTATATGTAGACCGCAATGGTTTATCCTCTAGTCTAGACTCCTAGGTTAGGTATAAGGATTAAAGATGATATATTTCTTGTGGATGTCTTTGACTTTGAGGAACTAGGCAATGGATCAAAATAAATTATGACCTACAATTTGTTAACAGACTTTTAGAAATTCTGATCAACTGTGAAGAATGACTTTAGTTGGTAAGGAAAAGTTACGTCTGCATTTAAAAACGTGTTCTAGATCCTCATTCTTTACTAAGTAAATAGCTATAAGCATCTGACTAAGATTTTCAGCGTATAAGAATGTAAAACGATCTGTTGCCGTCAGTACTGTAAACCGCAACAATGCAATGTAATCTGTACTTCACTCAAGAGCAATCATATATTTTGATAAGATAAAATTAGAAGGATTTAACAATAATACACACTTGTACTAGACCAGCTCTTCAAAATAGCCCAAACGTGCTAACTTCTAAGATGGAATTGCAACTTTATGTTATTGCAGTAACGTTGAAAATCTTCCAAAGCATTTTGGCACAGTTGGATAACTTGATGGGCTGGTGTCTGTGTAAATGTAAGAAAAGCATACAGCAACTACAGAAGTTGTGCTAAACAAAGTAATTCCACGTGTAGACAAATGGGTCTGCTTAAGTAATGACAAAGCAATACTGGTCTCTAGCCTACTCAAAGTGCATATAATCTATGTAGACTTTAGACTTAATAGTCATTATCTAAGGTGACGCTTTAAATCTTTATGGAGCTAAGATACAGGATGGATATACACATTTCAAACTATATGTATTTCAAAAAGAGATTGGATCAAAAAATGTCGTGACAGAAAATTGCAAAATGGGATGTCCCGATAAAATTATTGTTCCTGCCTTCGAAATCAATCTATAAAACTTACGCTCACTTGAAGCGACGGACATTTTCTTTGACAATACTCCTTGATTTGCTTATAATCCTCTCTTTTTTTATCAGGCAACCCAGCCAATTGGAGGATACCTTTAGAAGATATACCAGATGAATACAAAAGTCAAGCTGGTGCTGGTGGATTTGCACCCTGGGGGGTTGCTGGCATCATGGCTGGTGCTGCCAAGTGCTTCTTCGGGTTCGTGGGCTTCGACTGTGTGGCTACCACAGGCGAGGAAGCTAAGAACCCCAAGAGAGACATACCACTGTCCATTGTGCTATCCCTGGTGGTGATCTTCGTGTCCTACTTCAGTATTGCTACGGTGCTGACTATGATGCTGCCGTACTACCTTCAGGTTGGTTGATATTGATACCTTTAAGTATAACCAGGAATACATGTTTTAAAATATTTTCTACGTAATAATAATACACAAACATTATATCAGCAGGAACATGTCCAAAAGTATCGTCAGATATGTATGTCGGTTGATAATCACCGAACCATGCAACTACTTAATTGACGAGACCTCTGCCAACGAATATTTTTTTAATATCTTCAAATACCTGTAGCATTGTTAGACTGAATTTACTTTGACCAGTTCTGAACTTGTCCGAACCTATTTAATCCTTTACATTCCCTTCCAGGACGCAGATGCTCCTTTCCCTCACGTGTTTACTGAAGCCAACTTACCAGTCATCAAATGGATCGTCACCATCGGAGCTATCTTCGCTCTTTGCACCAGTTTGCTCGGAGCCATGTTCCCCTTGCCCAGGGTTTTGTATGCCATGGGCAGTGATGGCGTGCTGTTCAGACCTCTCGCTGCTATCAACAAGAGGACCCAGACACCAGTGATGGCTACCATTTTGAGTGGGCTGTTGGCAGGTTTGTTTCCTTATCATCATCAACAACCTGTCCTTGTGGGTGGTGGTCCACCAGTGTGGGTTTATCAGAGGACGCTGCTGCTCTTTCTCTGTTTAATGTGTAGACTGTGGTCCCTTTATCTCTTATGGCATCAGTAGAATGAGAAAAAAATGTGATTTTGACGAGTGCAAAATGTATCTCTATACAGTTACAATGTCTTTTTTATTTCTGTAGTTTTGTCGTTAAGTACTTTGTTTGTGTTTATCTCGCATTACTTAGCTGAGTTTAATTTTACTGATAACATTTGTTGTAAAACAAACCATAACAATAAATACGTAGCTATAAAAAAGGAACAATTTAACTTTACTTTTCAATACTTTTTACAGAACAATAAGTTTATAAAGTGTGCATTTCATGGTAACAATATATATAGAAATTCAAATATATGAATTATATTCCGACACTCTTAATAAATATCAATTTGTTTTGCTCTGGTAACAACAATAAAGGGTTGCCAACTAAACATTGTTACACGACATGTTTAGTTTATTTCAACTCTAAACGTTTTTTATGTGGTAAAGCTCCAAACCAGGTTAGCAATCGGCTCCGCCCAAGGATACCCGCAACTCCAGAGGAATTTTAAATGTTTAGCCAGCCTTTTGGGGATTAGGGTTTCGAAGATTTAGTGATTGGGGATGGGGAAGAAGGAAACATGGCTCTTCCATCCTTAGAACCTGACTAGTCACTAGAGAATTTTAATAGTATAATTTCAATTCCAGCTATAATGGCGGCCCTGTTCAACTTGAACCAGTTGATCGACATGATGTCCATCGGAACACTCCTGGCTTACACCATCGTCGCTACCAGTGTGCTTATTCTTAGGTAAATATTTATTCAATTCCTCCAAATGTCAGAAAAAAAACAAAATACTGATATAAATTTTACAAATTAATAAAAATCTTTTCCTGATCCACGTTTTGAAGGCATTACAGAAAGCCAAACGCTTAATGTCATCTGTTAAACAATTTCTTCAAGATTATGTTTTTTATTACCTATGCATAAAAATAAATTAATTGCTTCAGTATTGTATGGCTTCACCCACATATTGGGCAGGTAAGTATAATATTGTGTTCATTACATCTGTTGCACTGTTTATAATTTGCAACCAAAACCTATTCCTTAATAGTCCTTTCCGCAACAGCTACATTATAACCATCTTCATTTTCTAGATACGAGGAAGAATCTACAATCCAGTTGCATGCCACGAAGCCGGCCCCAGAGACCCCATTCAGCGTGTTCAAGCAGCTGTTTAACCTGCTGGGACTCAAGTACCCCACACAGCTCTCCTATGTCATCGCTAAATGCACTATTATGATATTCTGTAAGTACTTTTAATTTGTTTAACATTGTTTCCCCCATTGTTACAAGTGATTGCACGGTTGCCCCAGTGGCTGGGCATCTGCCTACCGCGCAACGTGTCACGGCTTTGATTCCCGCACGGAACAACTCTTTGTGTGACCCATAAATAGTTTTTCCGGGTCTGAGTGCTATGTGCATGTGAAATTGTATGTTTGTAAACGCACCCACGACACTAAAGAACTTCGAAAACGAGTTTCTCTTGTGTCGTGGGTGAATAAAGACAAACATACAATGCCACATTCCTAATCACACCACACAACAATAAATTGTGGATCACACAAAGTATTGTTCCGTGCGGCAATCGAACCCGCGACACGATGCACAGCCACCGCACCAATCGTGCAATCAATGAAAGAGGTTACCGGAGGCCCAATAAATTCCCTTCCTATTTATTATCATTACTATCCCTTCCCGATCCTTACATCCGCAACCTCTATCCCCAAAGGCCGGCAACGCACTCGTAACTCTTTTGGTGTTGCCGGTATCCATGGGCGGCGCTGATTGCTTACCATCAGGTAACCGTCTGCTCGTTTGCCGACATATTTTTTTTTTTTTTATAGCCTATCGTGTGTCCCACTGCTGGGCAAAGGCCTCCCCTTTTTCCTTCCAAATTTCTCTGTCTAGAGCGATCTCCGGCCAAGTTTGCCCCGCGTACATGATCAGATCGTCACACCACCTTCGCCGTGGTCGACCTCGACGGCGTCGACCTCCTTCTGGTGTCCAGTGAGTGACAATCTTCGCCCATCTGTCCGAGTGCATTCGTGCGACGTGGCCAGCCCACATATACCATATTGCCGACATATACCATAAAAAAATACTATGTGAAGTTGTTTCCTCTCTAGTCGTGGTGGCGCTGGCAACGTGCGCGCTGCTCCGCTGGGAGCAGGCGGAGGCGGCGCTGGGCGTGCTCGGCGCCGCGCTGCTCGTGCTGCTCGTCGTGCTCTACCGACAGCCACGGAACAACGTCGAGAACCTCTCCTTCACGGTAACACTATCACTTAAGTTGTACAGAAAGAATACAATCAATCCTAATATCTTCTTCATATCTACATTTTTGAATATTGTGTAGGTACTCTTTTTGTACTTATTGAAATATTTATTTGCGTACCATAATTCTAAAAGGTGTAAAAGAATTAGATTACACCTAAAATGCAATTGGGCCCTGTAGGGTTGACTAAAATTTAATAATAAAAAAAAAACGAAAATATTCGAATATTAAAATTAAATATAATAAAAACTTTTTCCTATAAAACATAATAAAAGAAAAAATAAAATAATTTCAAAAATTGCCAAAAATACTCCTTATTTTTCTATATTCTTGACTTGTTTAAAGTTCTCGACTTCGAAGCGCATTATTAATCTATATGTATATCTGTTGAAATCCAACAGGTGCCGCTGGTGCCCCTAGTACCATACTTGAGCGTGTGCATGAACGTGTACCTGATGGTGCAGCTGGACTACCAGACCTGGGTGCGGTTCATCATATGGCTCGCTATTGGTAAGTTCTTACACTAATTCTGTGTCTTCAAAAATATCCGCCGAGTTATTCTTCTGCATATGAACTCTCGCGGATTGTGTGAGGATTGGTCAGGTGTTGATTGATGTCTGGTTAAATCATAAGCTTTTGGAGTATCTAACAAGTGACGTTTTCAAAAATCCACCATGCATTCCATATTATTTAAAGACTTTCATTAACTAAATAAGAATATAGAACTAGACCTCCTGGACCAAAAATATTGGAGATTACATGAACCCTAGAAACATGAAACTCCCATTGTGGGCAGTTGTGCAATTAGAAAAAAAATCTAATGTAAGTAGGTACCTACCTTCTGAAGAATGGTCGATAACCAAAGAACTTTGTCAAAGTCACTGTATATCGTCTGTCTCTAACTGAGTAGATAGACATAAACTAGAAAATTGAACTATCCATGACAACAATCTTAAAAACCCCTCCTCACATTTCCAGGGTACATGATCTACTTCTTCTACGGCATCAGGAACAGTTCTCTCAATGTCAAGAACGAACCGCAGACCAACGGAGTGATAGAAGAGAAGCGCCAAGTCGTCACCACCAAGTTCTAACAGACTGACCATACTAGCCATAACTGTGTACGTACAATACTTAGTTCTCTGTGCTTATTTATATTTCGGAAAAGCCGGGACGCATTTTCTGATCTGCTGGTAGATGTAAAGACTACTATTGGCTTCTTAAAGTGCTAAGAAACACGAGCATTAACTTGTAACTAAAAACATGGCCGTTTTTACATTTATCGGACCGAATACCTAATGAACTGTAGAGTAGAGACATTTTTTTCATGAGTAAAACGGAATGGTGCGAATTCTTCAATGCGCGCCAAAAAACACAAACATGTCAGAATAAATTATCACTGAAGTTATGTTTCTGTGATGTAGCATTCGCAAAAATTCTACCTACAAGTGCATTCTCAAGTTTATCTTTAGGCGAAAATATGCTTTCATAGATTGATAGTGGAATTTCTCTTCTTAAATTATGTTAGGTATTCTATTACCAAAATGTATGAATGGAAGTGTCATTAGTTTGAAATGTTCCCGGTATCCTGTCTAAGACAGAAATGGATTTAAAAGAATTAGTTTGTTAATTTAAATAAGTTATTCTTTAGAATCGTAGCTATATCACAATACTTCACAAGATAAAATTATAAGTGCCCAAAAGATTCCTGACAGAAGTTAATGTTATAAAATATATAGTTATGATGTTATTACTTAGAAAATTCCTGGATTACATATTGATATTTTTGTAATAACTTATCTACATAAATATTGGACCTAATATTAGTATTAGCAGTCTAACTATCGTACTCAGAATGGCTTAATGGTGGATGTGCTTTACTTAAGTCAGTAACAATTGTTTTCAGAATAAAATCGTTACTAAGGAATTGTTAAAATAATCATTAAACTTCTCTGAGTACGACAGTTACACGAATGTCTGAAGGACTATTTCATTTTTTTGTATTTTAACCTACTTATGACCATACTTGTGAATACTTTGAGCTTGATCTAGTTTTATCAATGAATGAGGAGTTTTGAACCGCTAGAGGCGCAGCGGTCGCATAAGGTCTATAGGGCCAAGGAAATATTTACAAGTGTTAATTCGTTATTGAGTTAACAATGTTTAAACTTCCAAGAACTAAAATAATAACGCCTATAAGACTGTAAGCAACACTGGCGCCATCTAGTGAGTACCGTCAAATATTTTCAACTTTGATTAGGACTCGCGTTTACTACAGGGTTTTGATAGGACAGATTTATTTAATATAATTAGTACATAAGGAATAAAAATAAATAATATAATGTATGTATAGATAAATTGAAAGTTCTTGTTTAATGTTAAGTCAGGCATCTGTTACTTATTTTATAAATAAGTATCTCTATAGGTTTGGCAGCCGTTAAAATGATTCATGTAGATTTTATAATACAAAATACATTCCTTGAATATTTAGTAGCTTTTTAGATAGCTAGTAAGTATGTTAAAATGAAAGTTTTTACTACATTGAACTCCATAACTGGCTGAAACTAATTATTACATCAAATATACCTACTATGCACTTATTTTTCTAATCTATATTATGTTAAGTGTTTCTAAACATAACATATTACAGAGATAATCAGCATTTACTAGTAAAATTATATTTTTGACATGGCAACAAAATTGAAAGTGACATTCCATTAATGCTAGCAACATTTTTAATCTATATCCTATTTTCTTTATAAAGTCCTAGACCTAGGAAAAGTGTAGAAAAAACTAGAAATTAAAAGAACTAAGTTCAAAATAATGATATTTAGAATGATGTATTGTGTGTAATTTAAGACATTTTTTTAAAACTGTGTTGTGATAGACGTGTGATCGCCAAGCATTAGTTTTGTAGATATAGCTAATGATCATTTATAAATAAATATTTATTAAAATATATATTACTTTCATAAGATTATAAAAGCAGGTTCTTTTATTAAGTGCTAAATAGGAAACATGATATTATAAAAATCTTCATTTTTTTCATATTGTTTTTAGATTTAATAGATTTACAAGTTTATTAGTTAGATAATACATATTTATAAATGATCAATAAATGAATAAATAAGTTATACATTATTGTTAACTGTATGTAAATTAAATTATGTAGTTTTAAGCATTAACAAACTGTGATTTATTGAATGAGACGACTTAATAAATAATTCAGATGATGATTAAATAAATTAATACAAATTGAAAAGTTGATTTTATCTTTGTGTCCCCCCTCCTCGCCTACTTTCTAACGACCTAAAAAATGTTTGGTCAGCTGAACTGTTCTGTTGAAAACACATTCAATTTATTGAAGCTTCCGAGATTACCTACTTTTAGGGGGTTTGGTTTTTCTTCCTATACACAGCATTTTAAACAAAGTATACCGAGTAAATGTTGCTCCTGTTCAAAATATCTAGGTAGATAGAGATTTAGGGATTGGGGCAGGGGATCGTTTGGGCCTCCATCAATCTAACTCCACGGCGAAACACAACGCTGTGGTTGTTTCACACCGGTTTTCTGTGAGGCCGTGGTATGACTCCGGTCGAGCCGACCCATTCGTGCCGAAGCATGACTCTCCCACACTTAAAATATAATGTCTATATGGGATATTGCATCATTTTCAAACTTACCTTTTATCTTCCTCATCATGAAGGCAAAAGTGACTTTGGTATATTTTTGCGTTCAACCCACGACTTCAGCCAAGAACTTAAGCTACACTCGAAACCTTATAACTTTTTGTTTAAATTATTTAAATATGTATAAGATTCGGTTTTTTAGAATGTGAAACACAAGGATTACCTTTTCGTTGTTAAAGGGGTATTCCACAAACATTTCCAAGATTAAAAAAATACCTATTTCATAAAGAGGTCCCGTTTATATGTATACCTTCATGGACATAAATCCTACTTTATGACATAGGTGTTGAGTACATATAGTACACATATACAAAGGTAGTATAGATGCTTATGATAGATGTTTTTCTTTAGCTCGCAAAAGTTTTGAATTTTATCTCGCAGGCGAAAAAGAATGATTGACAGATGTGTTTTACAAAAATCTGAGAGAAAGAAAGAAAATTCTTACGGAAGAGAAATAAAGCAAAAAAAGTAAGGCAAATTTTATTTTTATTTAAAATGTCACTTACACATTTTACATTAAGCTGTTTCACAGCCAATAAGCACTTAACTAAACCTACAACAAAAATAATAATTTAAAACCTAATGACCTTGACCTTGAACCAATTCATAAGCCAATAAATTTAATTAATGGTACTACTCGTGCGCGATAACATGGCACCTGGCGTGAATCAATCACGTTTAAAGAACTGAGTTTACTTTTTTTGTTTTTAATTTTATTTTAGTTTTGTGAATGTTAATACTTATTTTACGCTATTGAGTTTCTCGTAATGTACTTTACGATATTTTGAATGCAACCAAACAAACAATTTTTGTGGATACAATGTTCCAACTGTTTTTGACCCAGGTGCCATCTTATCGCGCACGAGTTATACATAAAAATATATATAAAACTAAAACAAAATATATATAAAACTAAAACAATTTTGACTGGTATTCTAAAACTAACAATGTTAAGCTTGAGTTATTGATTGTCGACATTAATCTTTGAGGGCAAATCCTCTGCTAGCGTGGCCCATATGGTATCCTCATAGAGTTGAAAATGTTAAAGAAAATTCTTAACGGTTTTTTAAAGTAGCATTAATATGCAAGTTGGGTAAAGGCAGTGTTAAGCGTCGCTGATTAATTTGTACAACAACTTCACAGATTGTATAGATTTTTTACAAATATGCTACGTACTACAAAAGGAACGCGTTTAAACTCCGTTAAACTTCATGTGTACTAATTAGCACTACTCAATCTACTCATAGTACTAATTCTCCGAGAGCTTAGTGCGAATATTCTTTAAGGTGATTAACGCGCTTATGACGTCCGTCGCTTTGATTGGTCTGCTTCGATTTAATCAACTAATCAGATAGCTAACCGCAGAAAAAATTCCATCGCGTTAACGTAAAGGAAATTTGTACTAGGTACTGTTTAGTACAGTATTAAACACTGTGCGTTTAAGCGCACTCCCAAAACATACACTACAATCTAAAACACTAGATTCTAATTTAAATAGCAATTAAAATAAAAGCAACGCTAATAAAATAAAATACTTTGGCGCAATACGTCATAGGAACCCTTAACATCGAGATTCTTGTTAAGTACCTAACTATATTAATTAATATCTTGTGTACTATACTTTTATAGTAACTTTAAGCTGGTCAGATTGTACAACATTTTATCCACATTGAAAGATTAAAACTAATGTTTATTGTCTCTCCTAAAATGCGAATAAAATACTTGAAGTATTAGTGCATGATAAATAAGCATGCAAACTGAATTGATATTATACATTTTGTGTATAACTTTATGCAAATACATTTATTATAGAATTTAGGCATTTCGCATCGCATCGTGTGTTTGTTGACCATTGCTGCAGCGGACCGCATCATTGCCTGCGCAAACACTTATATATGAGCAATGTACGACGAATGAAACGACGCGTTGCGCAACGCCCTAGCATAAACAAAGCCTTACTAATTATGTCGTCAAACTAATGAATAGTTCAACTGAACTACTAATAATAAGAATGTACTAAAATTAAGTACTCATTAAGCAGTTACTGGTAGATGTTCCCTATTTTATTTAAGAATATTAATCATACGATATCAATTCCTTATTTTATTTCATAAAATAAGTACAAATAGGTAAAGTACAATAATATATTAGTTAGGGAAGTACAAATTTATAAGCTTTTTGGGGAAATACTACACTACTGCATTTCATTGCCGTCCGTTCCTACTTGAAATAATACTTTTAGAATTACTTGCTACTCAAACTCGTATAGCTACGAGTCATCCTCAAAACTCAGATTTCATTCTTTATATCAAATTTTCATTTTTGGTCTTTAATTTGACCTTGGCTTTTCAAAATCACATTATAGGTACTTGTATTTCTCGTCATTTTCAAGTCATTATACTCGTCTAATTGCAATTAAACAAACAAGTTTACACTTTGTTATTCCAGCAAATAAAATTAACATATAATGGGATTTTTTCTAATATTCGCACGTTTTTTTGACGCTTGTCTTCAATGCTCACTTAAACGAAGATAGACAAGATTATGAAAATTGTTGAGATGTATCAGGTCTTACAAAAACTGAAGGTTAAACACTTGTAATATATTAATTAAGCCGTAAATTGAACTCTTAAATGATACATATCTTGAAGTACACAATGATCGTCATTTTAATATCATCTTTGATGAGAAAAAAAAAAACAAAAAAAGAGACTCGTTTTCTTATTATCTATCTCTAACTTAATACATATTTTTACTAAAATACTAAAATAATAATTACACTTGCATAATTATGAAGAAGTGGTGAATAAATGCATTGTCTATTCGTTTCAGTTTTAAAAATGTTTGTGAAAATCAAATGACCTTGACCTTGAATCTTGAGTCTTATTTTGTCGTTTTTTAATATATTGTAAACTAAAACTATACAGTAAGGTGCGAACCGTATGACAAATACTATCTGTTTCATTATTAAACTTATATAGATCTAAGACTTTAGAAAAATGTTTGATAACACTTATAATATAAATCCTTTCCTTAAATCTAATGATAGCTTCATATCTGACGCTATATTAATAAAAGCACAGAACATAGTTATTAGATAATAATTTAAATTAAATTACATTATATAAAAGAAACTTACAAAGGAGCGTTAAGTCTAAGTGACAATGACCTCACGATGATTGTGTATATAAAAACGAATATTATCGCCATTAAAAAATCTTATGATCTTGTTAAAACATAATAGACTTACTTGCAATAAACATGAGTGTTTTATATTAGTCTAACAAATGATTAATTGTATAAGATCTATCTGCCTATCAAGCAAAAAAACAAGAGGGCAATTATTTTAGACAAACTAACAACATTATTTTACACTGCCAAATTAGACTAATTTGTAATATAAGTTTTTTCGATCGCATTTTTATTAATAGATATAGATAATATAAACTTTATAGTATCCATTTCACTATCAGATTGCCAAGTACGACTTTTACGACACGTTTATGACGTTCAGTGATCTGATTGGCCAGCTCAAAATCTGCTAACCAATCACAGGGCTATGCGATAACGTTCGATTGCATAAACGTCAAATAAAATAATTTTGGTTCTTTGATATCAAAGTTATGTTTCATATCCATCTAAATCACCCTCAATACTGTTTTCAATTACTAAATGCTAGAAATGAAGGAGACGACTGTACTGGAAGGGCTGACGATCCCTTCGCTAGTGTCTGGCTTCACCTGCTTGGCTGTCTGTCAGCCGAGCGCGTGTGTCAGCCCGTTGTTCAGCAACGCAGTCTGGCTATCATTGTGGAGGTCTGCCATCGGTACGGAGTCATTCTTACGCTTACGCTCCGAACTGTGCCACGCGCCGTATGTAAAGTAGATGAGAAGGCCTGGAAATAAAGAAAAAATATTTGAAACTAACGGATTTTCAGGAATAGGATGAAGTTCTATATTAGCCAAGAGGAGAGGATTACTGCTTGTTACCGAGTTCGGAACCTTAACACAGTAACCACCACGTAGGTCAACTTTGGAGAATTTGCCTTCAATAGCTTTCTATAGGCAGTCAAAGGCATGATGCTAAACAATCACTTTAGTAAAATTGCTGTTTATTTAAGTTTTATTTGTTAAGTATTCGTTCGAGCCGGGGTTGCGCAGTAGACGCAATGTGGCACCGCGGCCACGGCCTGAAGTAGGAGAAGGAACGGAGGGGTTTTCAGTCAGTAAGAGTTTGAAACTCTTTCGCCTTACCCTGGGAGGGAGTAGTCATTTGATGATTTTCCCCTGACAATAAAAATATGTATTTCTTGGCAAACATTCCTAACCCGAGTCTAGCAAAATACTATTTAACGCTTTAACTTGACCACTTAAAATCTGGTACCTAATACTAACTAACAGAATCTATCGTCGACACATAATTATACAATTTACAGATCAAACAAGTTATTTTAGCAAACTATAGTTAATTTTTAACCATTACTCTTGTTCCTCTACGAAGGTTTTCTAGTTGTAAACCACCTTGAACTAGCAAATTAAACTATGACTACAAGGAGTTCAATAAGATACAGGGCGTTCAAACTAAGAATTCAGAAAAACTTAAAAACAGCAAGTGTAGGATCAAAATAGTATTCCAAAACTTATATAAACCAAATAACTACAAACAATAATAGATTTCTTATTATCAATACTATGTATATAACGACTTTACATGATTCTATGATCGTTTGAAAACGCATCCTGTATATAAGAGTACACAAAAGTTCTATTGTGACTTAAACTAGTAGAGCTTTTCTTAGTTCGATAACGTGAGTAAATCATTATTTTTAATAAATTTTGTATGTGTCAAGAGACTACTATAAAAAAAAAACAGCAAAAAGCGGTGAACTTTGTACGTATAAAAACATTCTGTAGTACCTATATTAAGTATTAGAATTGCACTTGTGCTCAGCAGGGGCAGGTCGTTACTACTTTAATAATACATTAACAAAACAAATCGGATTATTCAAATATGAAGAAAACATTATACTTAATGTACTTAATGTTATTTTTGTAATCGTTTTACGAAAAAAAAAACGCATACGGAAATACTAGTTTCCGCATATACCCATATTTTTCATTGACACGTTTTGACAGCGGTCCTATTAACGTATCAGCTAAATCTGCCGACTAGATTTATCTACTTATTAAGTGTTCGCAAAATTAATTATTTATTCACATCGATATAACCTTCAAATATTTGTGTGCTTGATAACCCTTGTAGGGATTTAGGGATATCCCGTCGGGGTTGCCGGGCAAGCCCTTACCTGGCGGGAGAAGTCATTTGATGACTTTCCTCTGACATTAAAAGGGATAAAATCCCCATATAGATACTACTACGGTAACTAGTAGAAAGTTATCAACTTCCATCAATGATAATTCTATTAATAAATGAACTATACAAATAGTAACAATACCTTATGAAATCACTAAGCATTAAAATGTTGTCTCCTCATAGAAATGTAATATATTTATGTAAAACTAATGCATGACAACAGAATGATTACTTACTTACATGTTTTTATGGCAATTGGAGCTCCTTAATTAAACCAAGAATTTCGCAAATTAATTTATTGATTTTAATAATAATTCACTACAAAATTGGCAGAGACATCGTATTGTTAGATTACTTAAAATCAAAAATAATCCTACTAGTCCTCCTTTGGGTTCGCCATACCAACATAACATAAATACAATTAAAATATTTAGCAGGGTTATTAACCACGAAATGAGTTCAGCCTTCGATTACACTTATTACATAAATACTGTAATATACGCACATTTTAACGTTGCCTTGACAAGGCTCTTGAAGTGACAGTGTCATGTTGAAATCCAGAGTAATATAACTAAAATGCGATAGGAACTATGTTTGTCTGTTACTATTTGGTACAAACAAATTTTTCGGAATGAAAATTTTCAGTATAGTAATACCATTGAATGAGGTCACTGTAGGCCCAAATCTCACCTTCCCTGTCCCCATCTCCAATCCCTAATCGCAAAACCTCCCAACCCCCAAATCCCTAGTTCCTAGCAAAGCACTTGTAACTGAACTGGTGCTGCGCTAATATATGGGAGCTTGGTTTGCTTACCATCAGATAATCCGTCTGCACGTATATTCTATACGCGTTTTAATCCTTCAAGAACTTGAAATGACATTTTGAAGGGGCCAAAGCAACGCTAGAAAGTTTATTAATATATGACTGTCCAATCAGGTTAATTTGGGAATGTAAGAAAGCAAGGCCAGAGAAAAATATAAAAAAACACAGTTCAATGCTAACAAGTAGCACCTGATACATAAATTGACAACGCCGACCTACACACCATACCATAAGGTATATAATTGACACTCCGGAGTTCGTCTAGTGAGAGGACCCGGTGCTAATGGCCACTGGGGAGGTTTTAGTGAGATATGGAATATGATGGATACCATAAGCTTTATCTTTTTCCCCAAAACGTAGGGGACAATTGAAAGTTTCCCCCCGGAAATAAAAACGGTATATTGTTGAGACAAATTCGGAAAGTTTTAAAAATTGTCCCAAGACACCATTCGTCCTTGGCCATGAGGATATAATATGTATTGTATAACGGACAGTTGACAGTGACCTTTGTGGTTGGGAATTCGATTACCTACCTAGGAAATAGTCTGGCCGTGCAAGGCAGAGAAGTCTCTTTTTCTCTGAAGAAATATTCCGTAGGTAAAACATGAAAAGAAATGATAAAAGTTTCTTGCTCGTTCTTCTCCATCGGAATCTACACTTTGGAACGAGCGAATAGCTTCACTAAGAGGACTGACCGACAGACTGACACTGTATCTTCAAAAATTTTGTTTGGTCGTTCAAAAGTGCTTGTAAGCATCTAATAGAAATACTTAAGTGATTTTTGACTTGACTCAAAAAAGCAGTTTTGTGGTAAGGACGCATTGAAATCGAAAGTCCAACAGAAAGACACGTGTTATAAAAAATTGTGATAAAATCTTTTTTCGCGTGTACCTTTATCAGATCAACTTCGCTTTTTTTATTCCATTTAAAGAGCTTTTTATGCGAACAAAACTCGCTCTTAAGATATTTTTTGCATTTTAAATTTAAAACAAACATTTGCCCTTCTAACTGAAACAAATAATTCATTACAATAAAAGACTCAACAAAACAGAAACTAAAATATGTTTTATTAGCTACTCTCGCGCGGTTTCACCCGCTGCTCGGCTCCATTTAATCGTAGCGTGATGTTTTATAGCCTATAGCACTCAGGAACATTGTAGCTATCTATCAGTGAAAGAATTTTGGCAATTCGACCAGCGGTTCTATAGATTACCCCCTACATACAAACTTACAAATTTTACCTCTTTAATTTTAGTATAGATTACCTTTAATTGAGAAACCAGAATCATTATTATGCGCACGATCATGCAAACGCGAGTAGAGGAAATTATCTCACGTGAATGAAACAACGCTATCAATAACCAGTTTTTAATTAATTTCCATAATTATAATATACAATTGAATTTATTCTAATTTATTTCATTTTTTACAACCAACGTTTGTGTAGTAAACACAAGGGCAGCTCGAGGTTCTGGGTTTTTCAAAAATTTGTATTTTTTATTTTATTTTATTGGAATTGTATTTCTTAATTATCGAATACTAGGTATTAGTTTAAATATATTGTTTATAATATGTCAGGTATTGGACAGATTTCCTGTAGCAAAGAGGTTGGTATGAACCAAGTATTTGTACTTATCAAAATAAATCAATAAATAACGGCGCAATGACTCGCCAGCCGACTGTGCAACGTTCAATTCCCGCTCGAATCAACCCTTTGCGTGATCCACTAATTGTTATTCCGGGTCGGGGTGTTATGTTTATGTAAAATATTATGTTTGTAAAAGATGAAAATCACTGAGAACGTAAAAAAAAACTGTAGCAAAACAAGGTACCTCCACGGATGTCTTTTCATGGTAAAAATAAAAATACTAGTGACCCGCCCCGTCTTCGCACAGGTTCGATGCCGATACTAAATAGCCCAACTATTTAATAAATGTCATTATACTTATACACTTTCCTCTTGGATAACTCCGTCTTTTAAAAAACGCATCAAAATTCGTTGCATAGTTATAAGATTTTAGCAGACAAGGCGATAGGACAGAGAGAGCATGTTGAGTACAAAAAAATTTATACCCACACATTTCTGTATTACCTACAACGAAAAAGTGTTTAAAAAAAATTATCGCAAAACAATTCTATGAAAAATACTTTGAGATACCCCATTAAACCGACGGATCTACAATACGAATTAATATTCATTAAAATTATAAATTCATTAAAATCATAAATAATATTAATATTAAATTATGTACCTAGATATTTAGGTGCACTTTATATCCTACAAAAAACCTAATAGCACCCCTGTCCGTGACCTTTCAACTAAACAAGAATTGCCACTTTTTTCTCTCCTTAATTTCGTTACATCGTAGATAAATGAATATTACACTTATTTATAGACTGCTAAAAATAAAATACATAGAAGTTGATCAGGATTAAATCTTTCAAGCAAAAAATCTCCCGAACCCCCTCTAAAAATAGTTTAGAACAAAAGATAAAATACTATATCGATCAAAACGAGATTCTCCGTGTCTTATCAATGTGTCGCTATGAAAGAAGTAACATTTATCTATCAGTTTAAAAAAATAGGTCTCCGTATATAAGCCGGCGAGCACACGAGCTCGCCTTTATTTCATACGGACAAAGCAAACGTGACGCAACTCCTCAAAATGAACAAAATTCTTATTAGACTAGTGATTCTTTCAACCATCGGAGTTCTGAGTCAAACTTCATGGAACAACATCCCAGAAGATGCTACGATGACCTTCACTCAGCTAGCTAACAAGTATGGCTACAAAGCTGAAGAACATGACGTCATCTCTGGGGGCGGGTATATCCTGACGCTGTTCCATATCCCTGGAGACAGACATCGGCCGGTACTCCTCATTCACGGCGCCCTCGACTCCGCTGACAGCTTCATAATGCGGGGCAACACGTCACTCGTCATCGCGTTAGCAAGAGACAAGTACGACGTGTGGGTCATGAACTACCGAGGGAACAAATACGCGCGGCGACACACCACCTTGGACCCCGACTCTAACAACGAGTTCTGGGACTTCAGTCTCCAGGAAATAGGATACTATGACATACCAGCTAACATAGACTATGTTCTGAAGAAAACTGGTGAAGAAAGATTAAGTGTGATCGGATTCTCACAGGGGACTGTGTCTACGTACCTTCTAGGAGCGACACGGCCCGAATACAACGATAAGATTAAGATCTTCATATCGCTGGCTCCTGTCTGTTTCCTACAAAACACGAAGCCTCTAATGTCGGTAGTCCTAAACCTCGCACCGTTACTGAACGTCGCACTGGAATCGATCAACACCAACGAATTATTTGGTCAAAATACTACGTTACGTGCTTTACTTAACGAAGTGTGCTCTCCGAAAGTTGGTTACGAAGTGTGTTTGGTAAACGGACTGTTCCATCTGACCGGCGCTGATGTTAATGAAATAGAGCCAGAGTTTTACCCTGTCGTCTTAGGACACTTCCCGGCCGGAACGTCGAGGAAGAACCTGAACCATTTTGTGCAGATAAGTTCGAGCGGGAAGTTTAGGGACTACGACTACGGTATGTTGAAGAACATGGAAAAGTACAAGAGGCTGACACCCCCCAAATATGACTTGAGCAAAGTGACTATGAAGGTTGCATTGATTGCAGCCAAGAACGACAAGATATCCACGCTCGAGGATGTTGAGCTTATAAGGAAAGAGTTGCCGAATGTAGTGGACTATACGGTGATGAAGAGTGATTTGTTTAACCACGTGGACTATATTTGGGGCAGGACTGCATACAAGACATTGTTCCCACATATATTCCGGCTTTTAAACAAATATAATAAATGATGTTTAGTGTTGTTAGACTGCTGAAGTGTTGAACTTTGTTTGTGGTGCTCATAGCGTATGGTCTTGTTTCGGGAGAGAAGGATTACTGACCACAGACTATACGAATTCCTGTCGCACATGTGATAATTGTGTATTCCTAATTTGAATGGATTTTAGACACATGACTAGGATTCATGACAAGTGTAATAATTATAAATTAAGTTATAAGTTACCAAATATACGTGTTTAAGGTTAAAATCACTGTTATTTTCTATTGAATTCTTTGTTTCTTTAAAAAAGTGTTTTTTTTTTTCTGAGCGGTACAAATTAACAGATACAAAAAGCCAGGTTATTTACAACTGTTAACACCTTAAATTATAACTGTCTAGGTCTTAACGTTTCATCTTAACATGGTTTTACATAATTATGTTATAATGTAATTATCATGCAGACTTGTAGTCTGAAGTGAGAATCCAATTTAGATGATGAATAAGGAAATTGACAATATTAAGCGTATATCCATAGTAAGTCATCCATTTTTAATTCTTTTATGTGGCTCGAATCAACATTAGCCTTGAAGGAGGATTAGAATTTTGCTGACCAAAATACCAACTTATTCCAATTCCTGTCCGACATTTATATACATGACTGCACGGTTGGCACAGTGGCTGGACAACTGCCTACTCTGCAAAGTGGCGCGGGTTCAATTCCCGCACGGATCAAAACTTTGTTTGATCCACAAATTATTGTTTCGAGTCTGGGTGGCTTGTGTATGTGAAAAATGTGTTGGCGATGTTATCCGCAACTCCGACAGAATGTTTAAATAGGACTTGTAATATGAATTACCAGAGATTACTCACATACCTTCTGTAAGTTGTTTATTGTTATATATGTTTATTAACTAAACAACGGATTTATCAGATAAACGTCACCAAGGGCTGATTTTTCAATGGTTAGATAAAAGTTACCTACGGAATAATTATGATGCTGTCGCGTCAGAATGTTTGAATAAGACAGTGACAGCAATAATTTGATTGCTCAGATAACATTTATCAGACTATTGAAAAATCAGCCCTAAAAATCTAACAGACAGACTAAGGATAAAGACAATATTTTTATCTTAGATATGAAAACTTTATTCTTGGTGCAATGGTAATTAACGCCAACATTTGCAGTAGCATAAGACTTTTAATTACACATATTGACGTAGCAATCATACAAAAACATAGTAAAGATAATTTTTGTATGCAAGATATTAATCTATAGGTAAGTACTCAACTAGACACGCGCACCGGCTTCGCTCGGATGCAATGCTGACACCACCTAAATTTCTCCTATAACCTTTCAGTTATAGTAATTCCAGACACTATAGAAGAACAATTGGTGTACGAACGCCGGCGCTCGCATGGGTTTTGATGAATACATGGATGTTAGTATATATGTAAAAACCTTCCTCTTCAATCTCTCTATCTAGTAAAACAACCGAATCAAAATCCGTTGCGTTGTTTTAAAGATTTAAGCATACATAGGGCTAAAAGGACAGAGAGAACGACTTTGTTTCATATATGTAGTTATAATAAAAAGTTGAAGAGTTTGTTTGAACGCGTTATTCTCCGGAACTGCTGGTTTGAATTAAATTCTTTGGGTTTGACAGTTCATTTATTGAGGAAAGCTTTAAGCTAACTAGAGTAAGTCGTAAAAATATAAAAACTTACATTAAACGGACAATTTAAGATACGCATCTCACTTAGTAAACTCTTCCGTACAATAAATAACAGATATTCAAATTAAATAACACTTATTTCTTTGTTAATCCTTGAATCTGATATCTATCAAACGTATGGGGATTTACAAGAATGCAAAATCAAAAATAAATATATTTAACATAGGTATCTAAACTTTACATAAATATGAATACCATATTATGGTTAATGATTATATTAAAAAAAATGAATCCACTACGTTGTGGGTCACGTGTTCGCTAGTGCGAATCCCAAAACACGTGACAATATATCGTGCAATGATCATTTAAAATTTTTAAAGTGTGGGAGAGCCAAGCTTCGGCACGAATGGGTCGGCTCGACCGGAGTGATACCACGGCCTCACAGAATACCGGCGTGAAACAACCCACAGCGTTGTGTTTCGCCGTGTGAGTGAGGTTATCGGAGGCCCAATCCTCCCCTTCCCCTATCCCTTCCCAATCCTTATATCCGCAACCCCCATCCCCAAAAGGCCGGCAACGCACTCGTAACTACTTTGGTGTTGCGGGTGTCCATCGGCGGCGCCGATTGCTTACCATCAGGTAATCCGTCTGCTCGTTTGCCGACTTATACCATAAGAAAAAAAAAAATTTAAACGATGTCCAAAAAAATGGACAACGTTTTTGTTCGAACTTATTTTTTATCAAATCTAAATCAATAACAGGGTCTTAATACAAAATCTATTGAGTCAATGAAGTTCTTTGACAGAAACTCCTTTTAGCGGGTCAAAAGATCCCTACTGCTCACCACCTGATGACAAGCAATAAGCGTCACCAATGGTCACCCTCAACACCAGAGTAGATATAACTGCTTTGAGGACTTTTCGGATGTTGTTAAGAGGATTGGGAGGGATTAGGTGATGGGACAAGGGGAGGGAGAAGATTTATTCTTCGATAACTTCATTTACACGACGGAATGCAACGTAATCGTTGTTTCACGTCGGTTTTCTGTGTTGGTATCACTCCGGTAGAACAAACCCAGCCTTGCCAAAGAATAAAGAGCTCACAAAACTTCACAAAATGGATTTTAATTCACAACCTAATTTTGCATTGAAATCGCTAAATAATTTCGGCCGTATATCTTTATTAGCTTAACGTAAAAACAAACACGCATTCTTTATCAAACCTACAATTACAACTAATCAACAAACTTGTCTAACTAATAACAATAATAATATTTCCTAACACGAGAAACCAACATCAAAATCAACAAGGAAGTGGAACTAGACATTAATTTCAAAAAGGTCAGCAGAGTAATATCTAGTCATGATTACACGCGTACATGTGACTAGACGGACAAAAACATAGAAAATACAAAAACCTGTAACTATCAAAGCAAGGCCCCTGCTTACACGCATAAGGAAAAGCCCTGAACGCGTTTCGCCGAACAACTATGAAGCTTAGAAGAGAATATACCCCCAAAAATGTGACTGATTGATGGATATCATAATACATAAATACATAGAAATAAATAACTAATTAACATAAATTAAGATAAATATCGGAATAACTGACGGATGCTTTAAATCTACATAAACACGTGAATGCCGACGACGGAACAAAATTCTGCAGATTTTTTTTTTGGTGTTTTGTAAGCAATCAGCGCCGCCCATGGACATTCGTAAGTCGTAATACCAAAGGAGTTAGTGCAAGTGCGTTGACGGCCTGTTGTAGGTTATAAGGGATTTAAAGGTAGGATTAGAGGAATAAGGATGTGATTTGGGTCTCCGGTAGCCTCAATCACACTGCGGTACACAACGTGAATGTTACTTCACGCCGTTTTTCTGTGCCGTGGTGTCACTCTGATCGAGCGAGTCCATTCGTGCTGAAGAATGGCTCTCTCACAATTATGGTCTATTTTTGTTTCCCAGACCGAGAACAGGGGTTTAATTCTTTACTGTAGAGCGCCCTCCAGGGTAACTGACGATATGCGTAGGTCATGGCAGGCATCCAACCACTGCCAGCCAGCAGTGGTTGGATGAGAAGAACTGAACATCGCGCTCAGTGGTATCAATGCCTTTTAGACGGAATCAGGCTGATGTTGATGATGAAAAAGCTCAAAAAGGAAGGATACCACGGCCTTACAGAAAACCGGCGTGAAATAACTATTACGTTGCGTTTCGTCGTCTAAATATTAAATAAATATTAAATCTTCTCCCTCCCCCCGTCCCATCACCTAATCCTTAATCCTCTAAACATCATCCGATAAGTCAAAAAACCGGCGTCTTAAAACTGCGGGTGCCCATGGGCGGCGCCGATTGCTTACCATCAGGTAATCCGTCTGCTCGTTTACCGACCTATCACATAAAAAATATATTTTACATGGAGCTAATAGGTAGGTATCATTCGCCACAGCCCGCCAAAGGTCATCAAATTATTTTAAAAAAACATACACACGTGTTTGCTAAAACCGGAAGAAAAAAATACCTAAAATATGACACGACAGCTTAAAATTCGCAATTTATTTTTATTATAATTAAGGTCGCCATCGCTAATTCATTGATACAAGTGGCGTAGCGATTATTGACACCATACTAATGGAATGGAATTAATATAAACTTTATTATAAACTATTTCCTTATTCCTTATTGTTTGAAAATAATATTTCGCGACTTTGGCAGATATGCGATACGATATACTGCGTGCCCGGAATACGCAGTATTCGCGGATGTAAGTTCGAGATTAGGATTTAATATGTATCTTATCGTGTACAAAATAAAATTGATTTACGAGTGGTGAGTAAGTTTGACAAAACCGACCCTTGGGCGATAAAAACCTGTTTAATTGTTCCTGTTACAACGTACGTAAAGTAAATTAATTATGTTGCCGACATAATTAATTTTGTATTCCGTAGTTTGCAATGAACAGAGATTACACCGACAACCACTAGATATAAATATAATATATGCAAATTATAACGAATACTATAAATTAAGCTTGTAAAGCTTTGACCGCATCATTGAGCGCTATGAAGTCAACGTTTCCTGACAGATATGCGATAAGTATTCGCATTTTCTATTTCTTTTTTTTTTAAAAAAATGTTGCCCCACATTAAGACTTTCTCCTGTGTCGTGGGTGCGGTTACAAACATACAATTTCACATACACATGACACCCAGATCCGGACCCAATTTGTGGATCACACACAAAGAGTTGTTCCGTGCGGGAATCGAACCCGCGACACGTTGCACGGCAGCCAGTTGCCCGGCCACCGCACCAACCGTGCAGTCTTCTTTGATCTATTTATTGGAATAATGCACTTCTGTTATATTACCATTTTAATTAGAAGGACGTGATAATTAATTTGTGGGTTGCGGGGCAGGCGAAATAAGGCACCGCGGAAGGAACGGGAAGGTTTTTAATCACTAAGAGTCTGACACTCTCTCTCCCCACCCTGGGTGGGGGAAGTCATTTGATGATTTGTCCCTTAGAAAAAAGGACGATACAATTAATACACGTTATGGTACTTACACGTCAGAACAACGCAAAGAAAACGTTCTAAAAAAGAATAAGAAAAAAATATCAAGGTGATTAGGTGACAATATTTTTTTATCCGAGCCTATACAGTATTAGTATTTTTGCCTTTTTATTTTAAAACTTTATTTTGAAACTAGTATGAAGAACAATCTCCCCGGAAATCGCAGGATCCGCAAATATAAGTATGAGATTATGATTTTATATGTTTCTTATCGTGTACAAAATAAAGTTTAGTTTTACGACTTGCTCTTTTAAACATTTGCCTGCAGTGTCTGGATGTGAAGTGACTAACATTTTTGACTAACTGACAGTTTTTTGACTATCAAGGCAATTGGGTAGTTTCCTAGGTCAAAAATAAATTAATTCGACGTTTTAATACGATAAAATATTGAAAAATAACTATACTTTTATTCATCGATCGATCGATACACTGAGTTTTAGATATTTTTTAGCTAATTTTTTAAAAATAAGTAAGCTATTTGACGCAAAAATGCTATGACGTCATAATTCAATGTTTCATACAATTTTCCTTAATTTTCATAGAAAAGTATCGTTTTTGACATTTGGATAAAAGTATTGAATTTGACTAGTTGGAAACAACCGTATTACACAGGCTGCAATAAGCCTCAAAGTTGTCTTCAAGAAAAGCAACATACTGATTTCAAAACACCAGAACTTAAACTTTGCCACACAAGAAATAAGGTAGTTTATCACTTACCAGCGGCGATCCAGACAGCGAATCGTAACCAGGTCATGTAATCCAGGTTGAGCATCAGGTACACGTTGATCAGGATACTGATACCTGGCAGCCACGGGACTAGTGGAACCTGACAAGTGTAACATACCGGTTAATAACATTTCTAGGCTTATTTATATTTTTTATTAAGTCACTGTGTGAGCGAAGTTACTAGAGGCCGAATCCTTCCCTTCTCCAATCCCTAAATCTCTGGTATCATCGTCATCATCAGCCTATAAGAACCCACTGCTGAGCAAAGACCTCTTCTCATACGGAGAAGGTTAGAGCATTAATCACCACGCTTGCTCAATGCGGGTTGGCGATTTCAAACTTATAATTAGAAATTATAAGTCCAGGTTTCCTCACGATGTTTACCTTCACCGTATGTCAGTGGTGTCTAAATAATCATAGAAAGTACATATAACTCGGAAAAAGTCATATGGGTCCGTACTTGTCGTGGTTTCGAACTTACACCCTCATGCATGAGAAGCGGGCTGCTTAACCTCCGGGCCACCACGACGAATCTCTGGTATCCTCAACCCCAAAAGACCGGCTACGCATTCATAACTCCTCTGGTCTAACGGTGCTCCGTGTGCGGCTCTGATTGCTTACCATCAGTTAATATACGTCTGCTTATTTAACGACCTATTCAGTTTTTACCCCCTATAGTGATTGGACAAAACCTTACGGTCGAATAGCGTCGCCTGCAGTTTAAAAACGATAGCCCTATTGCTTTGTTATATTCACCATTAATTCAAATCGAAGAAGTTTATTCGGCAATATTTTTATCAGTCAACTTTTTTCTTGCACGCCTCAAAGAACCAGCAGACTACACTACAGATGGCTGGAAGACTACATGGTATATGCGATTTCGGCCTGAAGCAGGAGAAGGAACTGATTGTCTCAGTAAGTGTCTGAAACTTCCTTTTGCCCTACCCATGCCGTTCCTTTAAAAACCCTTCAAAAAGATACTGGGTACTACTGGTAAGAAAAAAGTTTAAATACTATTTAATGCACGCATTAATACGAATAATTTCGACGATATTAAACAAAGAAAACAATTAAACTCTTCAGCTGAAAAACATAAGATATCATCAATATATAAATATTTGTCAAAGTACTTACAGAGAAGGCCAGTTTCTTATCGGACACTGGTTGCCTGGAGATGGCCACGAGCGTGACGACTACGAGTATAGTGCCAACAGTCAACATGGCCACGGCGCCCACGTGACCTTCCAAGATGGCGTCGCCGTACTGATTGATACTCGACATCATCACGAAACACCAAACACCTGTTTATTACACACACACACACAAACAGATTGATAAATACTATTACAGAGTTTTAGGCAAAGTAGATGAGGTTCAATTGGGTAGTTTCCTAGGTAAAAAATAAATTAATTCGACGTTTCAATACAATAAAATATTGAAAAAAAACTAAACTTTTATTAATCGATCGATCGATACACTAAGTTTTAGATATTTTGTAGCTTATTATTAAGAAATAAGTAAGCTATTTAACGCAAAAATACTATGACGTCATAACTCAGTTTTTCATACAAATTTCTTAACAAAATATCGTTTTTGACATTTGGATAAAAGTATTGAATTTGACTAGTTGGAAACTACAGTATTATAAAGTTTAAAATTAAATACTGAATCGAAGCATTATATTCACGACGCCATTGCCCCAGACTAAGATTTGTTCGTTGTTATGCAATAGTGACAGTTGTTATTTCGGGTTTGGGTATGAGAAATAAGATGTTTGCAAACGTATCCACAAGAAGGGACACAATCTTAGTGCGGGGCAACGATTAAAAAGATGGTTGCGGTGTGTTGGTAGCATAAAGATAATAAACATATATGACTTCGTTACGTTTTCATAAAAGAAAGGAGCAAACATGGCAGACACATAATTACAAGTGATCTTTTTAACAACTCAAGGGCTGATTATGATGATGATATTGATGATGATGTTAAAAGACACATTAGCAAGCAACTAACCGTAGAGAGTGACGAGGACGGAGACGGTGAGGGAGCTGAGGCGGGAGGGCGCGACGAGTCCGTCCGCGTTGATGAGCTGGCGCAGCGCGGCGCGGTACGACCACTGCAGCGGCTCCGGCGCGCGGTGCCCGCCCGCGTATTCGTATCTGAGAAACGAAACATTCATTATAATAAACCTTCACAAATCCCCAATCTCCAATTCACAAATCCCCAACCTCCAATTCACATGAGTCCAATCCCCAATTCACAAACCCCAATCTCCTATTCACAAACCCCAATCTCCAATTCACAAAAGCCCAATCCCCAATTCACATATCCCTAATTCACAAATCCCCAATCCCCAAAAGTTACACTAAGCACTCGTCTGTTTTTTTTTAAGGGGGGAAATCATAAAACGAGGTCTCTCGCACTGAGATAGGGCTAGATGGAGTGTCAGACTCTTACCGACTAAAAACCACCACGTTCTTGTAACACCTTGAGATAAATTTATGTTGCAGCCCTTTTGGGAGCAGCTACGTGTTTGTAAAATTGGGAATTGAGGGTCGTGGATGGAAGAAAAGTTTTAAGCTTCCTGTTACCTCACTCATATAATGGAACACAGCGCAAACATTTTTTTGCGACAATTTTTTTTTGTTACCGTTTTATCTCTCGTTGAGTCGGTCCATTCGTGCCGAAGCATGGGAATGAAGTGTTCTAACAAAATATATGCACGCCACGCCCTAACTGTGGAATAGCTACACCAAATTACATTTTATTGTGTTTTTTATCGTTAGAACAAGATTTGTATCTATCCGTAATTCCACCGACCGCAAATTCTCTCCACTGATCGCTACTACCATACAAGACAAGCGGTTGAAATAAAGAAATGCCCAAATAATTTCAATCGGGAGGACGGCTTTAAATTGTCGTCGACGTGGTTCAAGTGGTTCGGAAAACACAACCTCGGTTTTCTTCAAAGTCGGTTGACACATCTGTGGATACGGTCAGCGTAATGTGTAGACGGCCTAATGTGTTAAAAAGTGAAAATAAGGGGGTAGATGAAGATTCATCACCCGAATGCAGGGATCTGTGAAATCGCGACCGAATCGTGACCACTACCTGTGCAACCAGGTCGAAACGTCAAGCCTACCAAGGTATTTAGATAATTATTTTCGCGTTAATACCCGCGTAATTTATGTTGTAAGATTTGTATGATATAAAAACTCAACGAGAACACCAGGAAATAGCACCAAGAAACTGCTGCGAGCCGCTTGTTTATAGTAGGTATTAAAATAATACTAAGTATAATGTATATTACCTAAGTAGGAGTACGCAGGACGCGACCATAGAGTAAGCAAGTAGAGTGCCGATGGACATCATGTGGATGAGCTGTTCCAGTCTGAAGATCATCGCCAAGGTACCTGCAAATTACATGATCATTAAAATCTAATAAAAAGAAACTACTTTAAACACGAGCTGCGCGCGCTGATTTTGAATCTGGGTCCCAGTGTTACTCGAAACTAGAAGAGCGTTTTTCGAATATAACTTTCTCAAAAAAACTTTGCCCCAAATTAACATTTTCTCCTATGTCATGGGAGTGTTTATAAACTTCACCTAAATGTCACACCAAGACCCGGAACAACAATTTGTAGACCACACAAAGGGTTGTGCCAGTTATTTGAACCAGCCAGCAATGTAAGTGTTGTAATTTAATAATTTCCTAGATCAAAAAAAAATTATTCGACGATTCAATACAATCAAATATTAAAAAAACTATACTTTTATTCATCGACCGATCGATACACTGAACTTCACATAATTTTAGCTAATTTTTAAGAAAAAAGTAAACTATTTGTCGCAAAAAACTATGACGTTGTAACTCATTCATTTTTTATACAAATTTCATAGAGAAGTATCGTTTTTGACGTTTGGATAAAAGTAGTGAATTTGACTAGTTGGATACCGTATTATTTAACTGCGTTAAAATGTACATATATGTGTATGAGCAAATATCTTCAATAAGAGGACTGACCGATATACTGACACTTTATATCTTTGAAATTTTGTTTTACGTTCAAAACAATTTAACTATTATTATTATATTATTGTTTTGGGTTGTGACTAGATTATACGATAAAAAAATCACGCTGTGGCCAATAGCAGCGAGTGAAACAAAAACGTACCAGTAAAGAGTCCAGCGATCATGGTACCAATGAGTGGAGTCTGGAACCTCTCGCTGACTTGCCCCATGAAGCGAAACAACAGACCGTCGGAGGACATCGCGTATATGATGCGGGGGAGCGGGAACACTGCGCCTAGCAAACTAAACAAAACATAATATTCATTGCACACCAACGACCAATTCAAACAATGAAACAATTAATTTATTTATGTTTTAATGAAATAGGCTTTAAAACGGCACATTTACGACACAATTAGATGAAGCCGGCATTTCCTATCTGACTACTCTGAGAAGAAATGCCGAAATAAACTCAGTGTATTCCGAAACATTTTTGATCTAGATCTAGATTTTATGTGTGTGAAATTATACGTTTAATTAGAGACCAAAAACAAGGATTTTAATATAAAAAGGTCGGCAATGCACTTGCAGCTTATCTGGTGTTGCGGGTATTCATCGGCGGCGCTGATTGCTTACCATTAGGCAAACAGCATGATCGTTTGCCACCGCATAAAAAAACTATCGCGACACACTATTCGTTAGTAACTTAGCTTGTTTTTTAAGTAGTACGTACCTAGAACAGAGCGCACAGATGGCCCCGACACTGACGGCGTACTTGGCCCACGGCCAGCCCAGCTGGTCGTACACGAACGGGAACGGAGCCTTCTCGTCCTACACAAACAACACATTTCATAAACAACACGATTTTAATTCCTCGTGAGTAGTAGCAGTTATATTATTTGCGAGTGTTAGTGTGCCGCTAAATATTAAATCAAATTTTAAATAACGCTGAATATCTTGAACATCGACAAAACAGTTTACCCGAATTGAGAATCAAAATACATTTTGATCGAAGTAGTGCTACTTCGATCAAAATCAGCAAGCATTTGTTTGAAAACATAAAAAGTACTAATACTTTCGTTCAACAACTGGAAATTGTTGAAGTAACATCGACGTTAGCATAGAATAATATGTGTGTTAAATTATGCTTATATCAGAATATTACTTAAAAACGAACTATAAGGGCAGAGGTTCATAGCAAAATATACCTTATGTTCTCGACAATAATTACTGTTATACTTTACCAATATTAGAGTATAGTGTATGAATGAGTAGTACCTGCATGTAGTAGGGCACCATGAGGGTAAGCACGGAGGAGACCCCGCAGTAGGCGAGGAACACGACGAGCAGGGAGGCCACCACCGCGAACGGGATCGTCTTCTGAGGGCGCCGCGCCTCCTCGCCCGCCGTCGCCACGCAGTCGAACCCTACACGACAAATCACACTTTACTATCTCAAGAATAAAGATGCTTTTTCTATAACCTTTATCATACAGCACTTAATTGTATATTATACTAGCGGCCCGCCCCCGCTTCGCACGGGTCTAACTATCTCGCTATCAAAGGGTCACATTTTCCTAATCTTCCTCTCTACTTTTCTAATATTTTCTTTGATAAGAACCTTCTCCTGACAATAACAAACACAACAGAAAAAGAATTAGCAAAATTGGTCCAGGCGTTTTTGAGTTATGCGCTTACCAATACATTTCGCGATTCATTTTTATATATAAAGATTAAGACGACTATTGAAAAACATTCAATGCAAATTGTTAATCAAAAGTTTGCTATTCTTCGTGCTTATTTGAATTTCACCAAGATCTAATGGTAAATAAAGAGCACCTTTATTTTAATCATTTTCTGTTCCTCATGGGAAGGCCCGTCAAGCGTTGTTTTGCCATATAAAATATTTCGAAAAAAACGTTTAAGGGAAAACCACCCTTATCGGTCAGCTGTGTGAAAAATACCCAGTAGGGCTTTATTACTTCGCTCATCAGCGAAATTTTTCATAAGGCCAAGTGAACCGTGATACAATTCTCATATCTACCTACTGAATATGCATTTTTTTTTATAAAAATCTTTTAAGCTTTTCCGGAGGAGTAAAGTAACTAACATTGTGACACGAGAATTTTATATTTATACTATTAAAGATGCGCGCATAGGTTTAAGCCAAACACAACAAGATTTCTACCATAATAACTCACCAATGAACCCATAGAAGCAGACGGCAGCTCCCTTGATTATGCCGGCGAGCCCGTACGGCGCGAACCCGCCCGTGCCAAAGTCTTTGTGTTCAGATTTCGGTACTTCTTCCGCTGGGATACGCCAGTTCTTCGTGTCGGCTGCAAGATAAGATAATATTGAAAATAAAATATAAATTAAAATAGGGTAAAAAATAAATATTATATGTTATTTGAAACTAATATTGTAATATACAAATTTTGATAGTTAAATCCAGTACAAATTAATAAGCACTTTAAAGAAAATCGGAAAATAATTACATTTCCCTTTAAATTCGAATTTTTGCACACTCTACCCAAGATTATGAACCACGGTGTGGCTCGAAAATAATCGGTCTTCCCCGATTTAATTACAATAATGTCGTACCTTTAAAAGATCCAGATATTATGACAAACAGCACGACACACAGATTGACTCCCGTGCAGAAGTTGTTGAACTTCGTAGATTCTTTTACGCCGAACGCAAGCGCCACTGTCAACATACAAAACATTGTTTTAATACACAAGTAAAAATTTCCTCACACCTTCAAGTTGGACTTCCATCATATTACAACATTTATAGGTCTCTACGACTACGCCAGTACATCAAAACTACCAAAAAAGTAAGTTACGAATGATTTTCAACTCTATACTCTCGTCACAAAGTTTAAAGTCTCTAAAGTTCTAGCATCTATAAATTCAAACTTAGAGGAATACGATAGTTGACCTACATTCGATTCTTAACTTTATTGCATTTGAAATAAAGTCTAAAATACTGACCTGAGAACGCCATGATGACGGAGAAGGCGAATAGATCTGGGTACTTTGCTAGATGTGGCGTGTCTATTGGCATGGCCGCTTCTAGGTGTGTAGATATAGCCTTGTTTAGCAAGGAGTCTAAATATTCACTCAGAGCTTTCACTACTGATGCCGCTCCTGAAATAATGAAATAAATTATGAAGAAAAAAAACAGTAGTTTATAATGTGATCTGAATAGTAAGGTTACTGGAGAGTCCATTCTTCCCCTCCCCCAATCCCTAAATCTCCCAAACCTTGCGTTGATGCTTGCCCATGGGCGGCGCTGATTGCTTACCATCAAGTAATCTAGATGCTCGTTGGCATTCCAATCACATAAAAAGACACATCCAAGAAAATTATAGAAATGAACATAACACAAAACTTTTCTTACCAATAATATACTCGAGTATCAGATTCCATCCTATGATGAACGCTATGAACTCGCCGACGCACACGTAACTGTACACATACGCCGACCCTGCCTTCGGTACTCGAGCACCGAACTCCGCATAACATAAGCCTGTAACAAAAACAACACATTTTTAATACCCAAATAATCCTTTTTTTGTTAGGGGAAAATCAAGTAATGACTTCTCCCGCCCATGGTAAGGCGAGAGAGAGTGTCAGACTCTTACTGACTAAAAGCTCGTTCCTTCTCCTGCTCTGTGCCGAGGTCGCGGTGCCTCATTGCGCTTACCCCGCAACCCCGGCTGAACATCAGCCCTATAGGGCCCTGTCTGTGGTGGTCTTTTAGCTCTTTGAGGCGCGCGCGGGACGCTACGCGCTTATACGCTTCAGTTCCTAAAAGAATCCTTAAGTTCAGGCAAAAGGTACTAAAAAGGTTTCGCACTAGGGTATTCTATTATTCTCCTGGATCACGATCACATGCTTCTTTCGTCCCGACCCGGAAGATAGTGAGTATCAGACACTTACGACCTTTTTACAAACAACGTTTTTTCTTTAGCCTAGGTTTAAACCATTGAGTCAGTTTATGTATTTCCAATTAAAGGTAGGTGAGAATAAGATTCAAAATACAAAATCAGGGCTGATTTTTCAATAGTCTGATAAATGTTATCTGAGGAATAAAATTGTTGCTGTCACTGTCTTATACAAACATTCTGACGCGACAGCATCATAATTATTCCGCAGATAACTTTTATTTAACTCTTTAAAATTCAGCCCTCAATGGTTTAAATCTAGACTAAAGGTTAATCTTGTTTTGTAATAAGAGGGTTACTGTCGAAAAAAACATCCCATTCTATCTCCAGAGTGCCTGGCGTAAGTTTGCATTCGTTTTTTTTATGTAACACGTCGGCAAACGAGCAGACGGATTACCTGATGGTAAGCAATCAGCGCCGCCCATGGACACCCGCAACGGAGGAGTTACGAGTGCGTTGCCGACCTTTTAGGGATTAGGGATTTGGAGATTTAGGAACTGGGGAGGGATTGGGAAGGGAAGGATTGGGCCTCCGGTAACCTCACTCACACTGCGAAACACAACACTGTGGTTGTTTCACGCCGGTTTTCTGTTGGGCCGTGGTATCACTCCGGTCGAGCCGACCCATTCGTGCCGAAGCATGGCTCTCCCACACTTAAATGCTGCTTAAAGAAAGATGCTTTAATTTAAAGCGATCGACGACGTTAAGTGCCCCCGGCGCTCTAAATAAAACCAACCAATTAGAGGGCTAAACGCGGTGACGTTTCAAACGAGTATATGTATTGAAAAGAAAACTAACACTACGCGCGACCGATGACAGCATGACATCATTTGAGTAACTTCTATTATTATTTGCACAAGAGAAAGTTTTAACCTAAATATGATAACATAACAAGTGATAACGCTAATTTTTATCACCATAATAACGTGTTAAGTCGAGGGTTTGCGATAACTTATCGTATACAAATCCCCTGCTATGATGGCCACCATGAGTGGCCTTGTATGTAATGACAATATAAGCATAAACATGAAATAGATAGTAATATTATAGCGTTTACGGTATCTCTGATAGCTGGTAAAATTGGGAGATAACGATTATGTAAATATGCGCTTTTTATTGTAATAAGACCCCACTGATATCATATTAACACGTATAAATGTAAACGTTTGAAAGATTGTGTTTTTAGGGCAAAGGGCCTGATGGTAAGCAAGCGGCGGTGCCCTAAGATACACCAAACACTAAAAGAGTGCTGAGTGCTACAAGTGTGATGCGGGCTTTTCGCAAATTAGGCATTTTTGAATTTGGCAACTTCAGGATCCTAGTCCTCCATTTAGGACTGGGCTCTCGGATTTCTGTAAGCGCGTAGTATCACTCTAGTCGAGCCCGTCCATTCGATCCTAATCATGCCTCTCTCATACTTATGTGTCATTTTGAAAGAAACTTTGTATCACTTACCAGCAAAAAGAGTGCCAATTCCAGCCAAAAGAAATGAAATCACAACAGCGGGTCCCGCATAGTACTTGGACACTTCACCAGGCAACATATACACTGCCGTACCTAGAGTGCTACTCGCCCCCAAAAACGTTAGACGTAGGGCTGAGAAAAATGCAGAGGAACTCAACCGTAAACCAGCAAAACGAACTTTCTGGGTTGAAAATATCATAGATCAAAACAAATCACAATCAAAAGAAAATGGATGAAGTTAAGAATCATCATCAGCCTATAAGAGTCCACTGCAAACGCCTCTTCTCACATAAAGAAGGTTTGAGCATTAATCACCACAATTAGCGATCTCAGACTTATAATTTAATAATTATAAAGGCTTCCTCAGGATGTTTTCCTTCACTTTTTATCAGTGGTGTCTAAATAAATTTAGAAATAACATATAACTCGGAAAAAGTCACATTGGTACTTGCCAGACTTCGGCAAGCGGGCGTATTAACCTCTATGCTACCACGACACGAAGTTAGGAATATAAATAAGGCTCTAGTTAATACAACAAGAAAGTCTCGAATAACTTTTCAACCAAAACCCTGTACGCAATCCTCCCTTTTTCTTTCATTACGATCTGCATATCAGCACATTTCATTTTCAAAACCGTATGTTTCCCATTAGTCATTTCGAATAAGATTAAGTATATTTTTGACAGAGACCAGACAGCAACGTTTTAGATCGGGAAACCGCCTGCCAAGCGTGGAGTTTCGGCGATACTTCCTATGTCTCATATTCCAATAGAGGACTCATAGGCTGTTGATGACGGTTGGTTAATCTTATACACTACACTACTGTTTGAAAATGGCACAATAGGAACAACCAGGTACCCTCAGACGGCGACGGTGTACACGAACTATCACAGCCATAACTAGCATATATGCATCACAATTTACTATATCGATAAAATAACCATTGCACAACTTGCCGCCAGTTATCAAGCATTTTCAGCAGTAAAATTTTTAATTAACAAACTAGTTGTGTCGGTGGCTTCACTCACGACACGTCTCCTTTTTTTAATACAGGACGCAGATTAGGACAAAATATATTTTCAACACACTTCCTCATAAAGTGGCTCTAATCCCATGGCAATTAGGGACATAATGACACCTACTTATAATCAAACTGTGAAGTTTTCATTACTATTATTCACTAGTGAGTAATAGTTTTTTTTTTTATATTTTCGGTTAAGTTAAGCTTACACTAGCGCTAAAATGCTATCCGCGAATATCTCAAACAAAAGAAACTTATTTTTTAGTCTATTGCCGATGCGCGCACATAGAAGAACTGATTAATTTTTCCCACCATTACCATTTTTGACTACTCGTCTCGTTTTCTCTTTAAAAGTTAATTTGATTTTTATTTAAGGATTATTTTTTATTCAGAAGTGTGTTAAAACATGTCGTAAGATACGTGTGTATTGATGACGAGATACTCTCTAGACTACATGCTATAAAACATCGTATAGGCACTCAGGAACATTGTAGCTATCTATCAGTGAAAGAATTTTGGAAATCCGACCTATGGTTCCAAAGATTACCCCCTAAATACAAACTTACATATTTTACCTCTTTATAATATTAGAATAGATTACCGTCCTCCTTAAGACTCTTCGCCTGATGGCTCGGGCCTCTTTGCGCCTCATCGGTCATCACCAACATTACACACTTCTATCACAATAGATGTACTATTTCACATATTACGTAAAAAGTTCGTAATATTATCAGCATTTTTCTGGTTTTGCGGGCTTAGGCGTTGCCAAAAGCAATCCACTGAGCTCGACCTCTTTGCTCTTAGTAACAAAACGCTGACACTAACCGCCACAATCAATCCCCCTAACTCGATGGCTTCAGATCTTACGTTTGACAAGACATACACTCAAAATTAACTAACCTGCAAAAACACTGGCTACCGCTGCTAATAGGAACGACAATATCACGGCGGGACCAGCATAGTTCTTGGCGACATCACCAGCGAGTACGTAGACACCTACTCCGAGGGTACTGCCGACCCCGAGAGCGGTCAAGTCGAGGGCCGAGAGCACCCGGGCCAGTCGAGCTGCTCCTTCCTCAGCCGCTTTCCGACGGGAGAGGACGCCGTATGCAAGCCGGGCGACGCGGCTAGCTCCAGCCTTGAGGCCGCCTGGGAACAAACATAAAGAAATATAGTTATAACAAATTTTATGGTTCGGAGCCGTCCACGTAGACGTAACGCCTACATTATTTAAATGCCGAATTGTAAAGATTACAATTTATACAAGACACCATTCCATACTTCATAAACCAAAATGTCTAACTTAGTAATCTTTGCTCGACCCGAAAAGAATCAGGGTTTGCAAGGAATCCGTTCATCACGTACACGTTGTTTAGACGTGATGAACGTTACATTATCCAAAACAAATATTTTCTATCAAAGCATTGCTGAAATCGTACAGTGAGCCACCAATTAGCTTAATTAAATGTACTCGTAAACAAGGAGTTTATTCTTTCCACTGGCTGGCTGGCTTCATCACTACGAATTATTGGAACATTCTTGAACATGCGAAAATGATATCGACAAAAAAATCAATGACGGGCCTTCAAATTTATCAATGTAATGAACGAATACGTACCGATCGCCAATAAAGCGAGGCTGGCTATTGAAGACGCCATTAATTTAGCACTTCGACAGCACAAGTGATGGCAACAGAAACTAACAATTGTTACAACCACTTAGGACGCACGCAATGGGGTCATACTTCAAACAATTTTAACCGAAAATTTACTAAAATACAAAGCGTTTTAGGCTTAAAATACCATTCAATTGAACTATACAACAACCACGACTAATTTCCACATGATGAAACATTACTATAATAAAATGATGATACCCTATGTGTAATAGTCGTTTATCTAGACTATAAACTAGATTTGTATAGAAAAGACCTTGATGACAACCTGGGCAGCCTAAATGCTGATTCTGGCGGAAGTTTAGACCAAAGTGCAACGTGCTATGTGATGGATACAATCGCGCACAAAACGGTAAAGGTGATCTAGATGAAATGCAAAATTAGACTTGGTTTTGGACGTTCCTCGTGTATTGTATTACTCAAAATGACTTTTAGGATACATTATTTAAATTTTATTGCAATTATTTCGACCTTATTTCATTAGGTTGTTGTTCAAAATTGTTCTTTTTTAAACTTAACAGAATACGTCATTCTATACTGAACATTAGTAATCGTCTATATATGATTTAAAATTCAATTTTTAATCCAACAGTCTGTTAATCATTGATATCAGCGTATTATCATAAAAGTACTTCTTCCTTAAACGACATAAATTCCCGTAGAATTAAAGGAAAACCAAAACGCACAAGGTCAAACTGTTAGAACGATTAGCATTGACTGTACCGGTTACAATTGCTGAAGTAGAATTTTACTGAAATCGCCTGTTACGCATATTTATTTATGCAATAAGTAATGTTTTATTAATTTTATTACCTATATTATTGACGCAACGGTCTTCAATCCGCACTTTGCGTCATTATAAATAAGATGTCACGTGGTGGAGAAATGGTTGTTTTTTTACTTTTACCAGCAGTCACATTGCAGCCTCTAATTGATGTAGATTGTTAAAAGAAAGCATAAAATATAGGTACGTGTTTTGCTATATGTAGCTAACAAAACAAATTTGTTTTCCATGAACATACAAATATGAAGTATTAATACAAATCTAACATTCTAACACATTTATCAAAATAAGTATACTAAACTTAAACTTCCCCTATTGCAAATAGCCCACTCAAATAACTTTTTGGACAATAATAAATTGATAAAATCATAAGCTTTAATATCGTAACAAGACAACACAGAAAAGAAAATATTATAGGCATATCATTAAATAAATGTATAACTTACAGAGCAAAAGCACAAACACCCACATGACAACTACGGCTTGGCAAAATGAATGAGACTGTTGTATTACTGGAGTGACTGGCCAATATGGCAATACACATCAATTGATCAACCAGACATTAAGATATCAGCACGCTACTCCATACACCAATTGCTGTAGAATGCCTGCCTTATTCAATATTGTCCAGTTGACCTCTAACCAGACTTTAATACAGGGTGTATTGATCAGACTTATATTTTTTGTGTGCAATTTGTGTAGAGGACACAATGGCATTTATATATTCAAAACCATACAGTTATTCTTTCTTTTTTGCTTGACGTTCAAAAGTGCCTTTTTCGGTCTATTTGAAATAAAGAATTTGATTTGATTTGATTTGATTCAAAAGTATAAACATGTAATATGGTAGTTTCCAAATTCAATACTTTTATCCAAACATCAAAAATGATACTTTTCTATGAATACTGAATTATGACGTCATAACATTTTTGCGTCAAATAGCTTGCTTATTTTTTTAATAGTTAGCTAAAAGTTAATGTATCGATCAATTGATGAATAAAAGTATAGTTATTTTTCAATATTTTCTTGGTATTATGTATATGTAGTATTGGTATATGGCAACCAGACCTCCTCAATTCCAAATTCTTTTTTATATCGAAATATCCCGGTATTTCTCTCAGAACTCTTCTGGTGTTGTGGAAGTCCACCCTGCCTACCTCTTCAGCGATAATATGCGTGGCGATAAAAAATACATATATAACCGTCACAAAAAAAAAATACCTGAATAAATTTAAGAAATGTGCCATTTTTCGTGAAATCTGATCCATATACACATTTTTAGCATGGAAGTTGAGGTGTATACAAATATACAAAATTAAATACGTTAATATATTGAATTGAATAATATTATGAAATATATCAATTGATTAATTTAATAAATGTGTGAAGGATAAACCAAATTCTTACTAGGAAGACAATAAAGTCTAGACATCACTATCAGAGATTATCAGATTACTCTTCATTTATGATATGATAAGTATAATATATAAACTTCCGAGTATAAAAAATGATATTATAGTGACGCGAAACTATATTTTTTAAATGTATTGTACAATTAAATAAAAACCTAGTTTTCTGACCTAAAAAAAATAAACTTTCATTCATCAACCAGATCTGAGTGAAAGTAAAAATTCTTTAAGTCATTTACTTATTTGCATTTTCACACCTCACTGATTCTATATTGAGACAGAAAAAACTTTTTTTATATTAAAGTAATATAACTGCTCCACAAGTTTGAGACGTCATTGTATACCTTATAGGTACAATGGTGATAGTCCAAAAGTATGAACAAAAAGTAATTGGCATTCTTACTTACTTGATTCAGTAGAATGTAATCTATTATCAGACAGCACTAGAGCTTTGGTATCCAACAAATAATATTAATTAATTTGTGACAATACAAACTACTTTTTGTAAACTAGGTTTTATAAGTCCTTGTAGTAAAGACTTTACAGACTTTTTATGGAGAAGAGTCTCTTAAATACGCATTTATGGTCATGCAAACTTGACATGTTAACAAAATGTCAACCAGTTATACTCAATACTTTATTAGCATTCCAAATTTTATTCATATTTTTATAAAGTTTAACAATATATTGGAAACAATATGGACCCGGTAGGGCAGAGCTTAAAGAAGTAAGACAGGCTTGCAGTACAAATTATCGTATTATCTAGTCTAGTAGCTGCTAGCTGGTAGAAGTTAAATATATCTAATAACCAAAATTTATTATCAAGATTCCTTCGCAAACATTGAATCATAAATAATCATACATACATAAATTGCAAGTAAAAAAATTCTTGTAACACCTTACAAAAAAGGATGAGGTTTCAGAGGTACAATTTTTATATTCTCATATTCCATTTTCAAATATAACATATCATAAATTCTTTAACACCATAGGATACTGATTACATCAACACTAAGGTATTATGCCAATACAGTGTTAAGTGATACAAAGGAATGTTTGTAAAAGCATACGAGTACTATATAATCCAGACCATATATGGACATGATTTCACTGGATCAGATTTCTTAAAGGTATTCTAATATAATGTTACTTTGCAAGTATCTTACTACCATAACATCTTTTAATTATTAAGAAGTATGCATAGGGCTTTACATACTTGATGGTTTATATTGGATATTAATATTATTAATGCCTCAAATACCTCAAAACTTACACATACATTAAAAGCCTCTTTAAAAAACATATGCATTAGTATTTTTTCTTATTTGATGAATGAACTACTTAGATTAAAACAGTGTTCACATAATATTAAAGTTATATTTTATGTAGATTGTGACAGGTAATCAATTTCTCTTTGATTTTCTTAGCCACGTCACAAATTCACCACAATTTAACCAACTGAACTAACAGAGTTATGACCATAAGGTTCATTGCTTTAATTCAATAATAACAGAATAATAGTCAAGTAAATACTCTTTGCTTACCTTCTTCATAAGCCTGCCGGACCGTGTAGCTGTTCTGGTCATCCCGACCACGCACCGGTTCATAATTTCCCATCAAATTATCACCCGGAAAAGACATTTTAGGAAACCAACATAAACTCCTAACCTAAGTATATTTACTTAGTTATAAAGCATGGAAATATATCAAGCTTTATGTCAACTTGGGTTTTTTAAATGTTGAATACGGTATCCATTGAAATTAATACGTAAATATATTTTTAAAATCAAATAAGATTCTCCGAACCCATAGCCGTACAAGTGAAACGTGAAACTGACAGTGACATCGCCAACTTTGACAGCTGTTGCAAACACGCGCTCGATAGAGATGGGAGTGTGAAATGATATTTTTATTTCGTTTATCGACAAAACGGCGTCTGTCTTTCAGGTTCAATGTAAAATATTATGTACCTTAAGTTTGTATTTGACGTAACAGTTTTGAGGGTTTACAAGCAGGAGGTAATTTAGCTTACGATTTTTTTTATTGTTGCACAGGGTCCTGTGAACTCATAGGAACCGATATTTTAATACTGAGTACTCATCATAACAAACAAATATCCCAAAGAAACATTTTTAATCCCCATTCGTTTTATTTTTGTTACTCTAAAAAATACTGGCAGACGTGCAGTGAAATGTTCAAACGCAGGCGCGCGGCACCTCACCACTCGTAGCTGATCGGGTGACAAATGGCGAGCGTGCGCGTTAACCTATTAACATTGAAGTAAAAAGTTGAGTTCCGACATTTCAATTGAATTTCAGAAGCATCATAACATGATTTAAGTTTCAGTATATGACCATAACCGTATCGACAGATAGAAATACTAATAATGGAACATCACTACTACCCAAGTCTTATGTCAAGACGTGAAAGATTGCATCATTTACAGATGCGTTCAGAATTTAAGAATGCAATCTTTATTAATAAATTATTAGTAAAATGGGTTTGAGTTCCTATAATGATGATGGTATGTAGTTCAAAATATAAATAAATAACCAATAAAAAATATTATTATTCATTGTACGTTACATTCTTGTTACAAGAATGAATCAAAAATTATTTTTGAGATAGGTAAAATTAAAAATCCACAAATGAATTACGGGAGTAGACCTACATCTAGGTCGACAACATCCAATCCCTATATCCACTAATAGTTTAATCACATAGATTATTAGCAGTCAACAACTGTGCGATTCTCGCGAAACTTTCTGCCCCCCACAGCAAAACTTTGGAATGATCTTCCGGCGGCGGTAGTCCCGAACCGATACGACCACCAGCCTTCAAGAAACGAGCGTACTCCTTCTTAAAAGGCCGGCAACGCTGCTGTGACTCCTCTGGTGTGCAGTGGGCGGCGCCGATCGCTTACCATCAGATGATCCGTCAGCTGGTTTGCCTCCTATTCCATTAAAAAAAATTAGATTGTTGTTTTCTTTTTTTTCTAAAATTTTCAGTTCGTTCGAAAGATGTAAGAAGCTACGCTTCAGTCAAAGATTCAGACCTCTATTTAAAAGAGGATAATCATGAGGACTAAAAGGAGATTAAATAAGAAGTGCAAATTAAAGTGTAAAATTATTTTATTCAACACATTGCGAATCTCATGGCACCACATCAAGGCACGTACGATCACTCGTTACAAATAATAACATCTATATACATATAACTAGAATAACTCGCTGTTAACGTCCTAACGTCATAGAAGCTATTTTTGACAGAACTTAAAAAATAACATACAACAATTAAATACTTAGGGCTGATTTTTCAATGGTTAGATAAAAGTTACCTGGGGAATAATTAAAATGCTGTCGCGTCAGAATGTTTGTTTAAGACAGTGATAGTAACAATTTTATTCCTCAGATAACATATATCTGACTATTGAAAAATCTGCCCTTATTCAGTAAGGTTTCAATTTTAGGTTTTAAATATCTATATCGGATTCTCTATGGCGACAAATGCTCTAAGCATTGGGCATCGTTAGGTTTTTTTCGTGTAGACTAAGTTACTGCTAGATATAATATCTATTTAGTAACAATGTTATTTGAATTTAGATTAAGTTCTGCCAAAAATACCCCTCGAACCTTAATAAAATTTAACACTAAAATGTAATACTGAACTAAATGAATAAATAAAATATACATCGCTGTGCGTTATATTCATCACATTGTTATAACATCTTGTTGACGACTGTGACACAATTACATATAGAAATTATTATTTTTCATAGATATTGGGGTCAAAATAACTCACAGCCGCCGACAAAAGTAATCAAAATAAAGAAATTTAAAATGCAAATCGAACATACTCTGTAATTACTCGTTGTACAAACGCGTATTAAGAGTGACTTGGCCGTAGACACCCTATACAATCAAGCTATCCATTTCCACAAAATAAAGAAACAAAAGTATAAGATGACCAGCCAGCTTGCATAGAACAAAGAAAAATAGATCGTATAACACACTAAGTACGAAACATATTTATGTAAAACATGTCACTAATTACATTATATTGCAATTTACAAATCTCTAGGTGCTTTCAACTTGAATATTAATTTATGTCACAATACTTAATGTAAAATTAACTATGTAGGTATGTATGTATGTTTGTGCGCCTTGTAATATACATAATATACTAATTAAACATTATTTTTTACAATTATCCTTGTACATATACGTCGGCGCATAGCTACAATCTATAGTAGTAGATATGATATCCTTAATCCCCAAATCACATTATTTTTAAAACCGTCGTGGTGGCCCGGAGGTTAAGGCGTTCTCATGCATGAGGGTTCAAAACCTGACAAGTACCAATGTGACTTTTTCAGAGTTATATACATATGTACTTTCTATGATAATTTAGACATCACTGACATACGGTGAAGGTAAACATAGTGAGAAAATCAGGACTTATAATTTCTAATTATAAGTTTGAAATCCGCCTTGAGTAAGTGTGGTGATTAATGCTCAAACCTTCTCTGTGTGAGAAGAGGTATTTGCTTAGCAGTGCAGTATATGCTTACAATGACTACGTGATATAATATATCCGTGTGAGTTTGAATGACATATTAACAATCCCTAACAAGCTAATAAAGAAAGTGGACACAATTTTAACTCTTTTGGTGTTACGAGTGGCCATATGTATATACTTAGTGATACGTGTGCAGGTTTACCGACCCATCCCATAAAAAAGAAAATAACGGTATTATAACAATATTGTCTACCGACGAATATAAATTAGAATTAGAATAGAAATTGTTGCTACGCGCCGACATAAACAGGATGTTCTAAACTAAACATTAATACAACTTTTGACCATTGAATTTATTTAACAACTGTACATTTTTTTAATTATGTAAAAGTCCGGTATTTAGAAATAATAATAATTTATCATTATTCGTAAAAGTTATTTACATACACCGTGTAAATTGTAATGTGATGTCTGTTTATTGCATTTAAAAAAATATATCAAAAATAATAATATAATCAACATAATATTTGAGGCACGTTATTTTAATCATGAATCCAACTACTTTTGAAGGACTAGTGTAGGGTTACAAATACTAGAAACGCTAGTCCAAAAAGTAGCTAAATCCACGTAGAGTGGCCGCAAAAAAACCTTAGGATATTTCTAACATATGTATCTGTACACTTCATTAAAACAAGGACAACAGTATAAACTATGTAAAAAAATTTTCCATTTTACATTCTTTAAGGTCCATTACAAATTAATTTAAAAACGTCAACTCATTTTCTTTCTACTATTATCGTTAAAAACTCATAGGCCTACACTGCCGCCATTATTGTAAAAAGAAAACGAAAAAAATAATATAACAACTTACTTTATAATTTTTATTCTAAAATTAAAATATCGTAAACATTTCTCGAATAAGTTAATAACGTACTTAAACTTACTGCTAGATACATAAGGCCGCTAGTTCTTTATACAAATGCCATTCTTCAGTCAAATATTTTTTTTTTTGTATTTTGTTACCTGTTTTATACGTATATTTTATTAAATTTCATGTCTACTAAGGCCTCATAATATTTCATCATTATGGCAAATCGCTACGCAAAGCATACAAAGGCGATATTCTTAATTAAAATCTAATATTAAAATGCTTTGCCACGTCAATAAGTCGTCTCAAACATAACTTGAAATATAATAAAGGCCTCTAATTAACAGAATGTATGTTTAGAATGAAATAGTACTTGTAGACATATTCTTTACTTTCCTATGGACTAGGCACCCAACAATTTGCTTAAGGCATCTATGTTGTAAAATTCATATAAAATGTCTCACTTTGAAATCACTTTAAACTCCATAGCATTTTTCATTCAAACTTTTTTTTCGTAATTTTTAATTTTTGCTATAATGTGATAATATGTATTGTACACTGCTTATATACCAAACATTCATTTAGTATCTATTTGACTATTTAATAGTATACTAACTATAATTTTTCTTTTTATTTTCTCACTCTAATCACTAATAAGTCACTAGGTACCATAACAGACAACATTTTCTACAAAAGTTACGTAAATAACATAACAAAAAGAAGTTTTTAAAGTTTAATCTACTGCGCAACTGAACAACTGCGCAACCTGGTTTACAATACCAGTACTGCAATCTTTCTAACTTTTCATTCATTTAACAATGTTGATTAAAATAATTAATTTCAATCAAATTGTTAGATTTATGTGACAAATCTATGGTGTTTGCGCAACCATCTTAGTAAGAGTTATCACGTTGCGCATCAAGAACAACTCAGTTTTTTCAACATTAACACTGTCTCTTTTTTTGTAGACTCTTGTTAAAAAGCATTTTAGTAAATTCACGTTTATCATTTTTTTAATATATTTTTTTCGTATCTCACTGAAGCTTTGGCTAGAGCACTTCAAGGACAACACGAGCACTAGGATACATTCTATTTAACGTAATAGAACACATTGGTAAAACTCCTTAGAGCACAATTGTTACCATCTTCATTAAGCGCAAGCTCAAGAAGAGATGCGCATAACTTGCGCAATGGTTGCGCAAAGAAATAAGACGCGGAATAGCTAGTTGAGTCGTGTTACTCGCTGGAGTCCTCGTGGTGGGGTAGATGCTAGGCGCGCGCGGAGGCGGGGTGGTAGGTGATGACGTTGTGTGCGTGCGTGAAGGGCTGCGTGGGCTGCGCGGCCTGCGCCTGCGCCGGCGGGCCCGGCAGCTGCAGCGCCCGCGTCTTGCCGCCCAGCGTACATCGCGTCGTCGCGCCGCTCTCTACCTCCACCACCAGCTCTTGGCCCGTCAACCTGACAAAATATTTGTATCACTATTCAGATATGTGGAAATCTTATATAAAACAGTACACAACTAAAATTATTATTAAATAATAATAATTATGCAATCGAGTTTAGATCTACAACTTCGTGCACGACACGGATGGTGACCAGGTCAAAAGTAAATTCAAAATATTTTCACTTATGAAATGATGTGTCTATCTAAAATTGAGAATACTCTCATTGATGATTTTAATTAAAAGCTACGTTATAATATTTTCTAGATAATTTAAGTAAACTACGGTAATTGATGTAAAAACATTTTGACATCACTAACATCAATTTCATTAAAATAACGATAATTATCTTTTTGATACTAAAAATTTCTAACCTTGTCCAGTTCAAATACAAAACTGTCCTCAAGTGTATGTCCTATTTGAAGCACGGATATTTCTATATACAAATACTTACATATTATATCTATTAGCCATGACACCCAGCAGTTCTCCGACCAAGTCTCCTGGCGCGCCAGTTTGGTTCACCGTCGGAGCAACCAACCCTACCACGAGGTCGTTCTTCGCTGATGGAATGCTGATCACTACTAGTTGGACGTCCGTACTCATTATACGGATTGCTCCCACCTGGAAAAGGGTAGGTTTTAAACATTCAAGAGAATTCTAAAGACATTACTATACCCATGAAGTTGTACTTTGATATAATAATATTTTTTGTGCAAGAATCGAGCTAGGGCCACGTTACACAGTAGCTAGTTGCCCAGCCATAGATTGGGCAAAACGTGTAGTCATTTTACATTTTAGTTTCGTCATAGAAGCGTTTCTATTAAGCAAAGATTTAACATTATTCCATTCAAACACAAAATCAAATATTTCAATGTTTTCAGAATAAGGGTCACAAAGCTTACATGCGTCAGACAAAACATGCCATTGCAAATAATGCCTTCTGTAATAATAATAATAAAGTCAATTTTGGCATACCTCTGTAATGGCAGTAGGCTTTTTCAGCGGCTTGAACGTGTTGGCATCTAGTTTGAAGATATGCGAGTCTGTGATGAGCAGACATCGCTCGGCCAACTTGTTGTAGCGGTTGAACTTGTGGACTCGGCACGAGAACATCGCGCGCCCTACTTGCTGGGACCTCTGCAGGGACGATAGCTGGGACTGGTATGTCGCTGTATAAACAAATGAGAGAGATGTAGTTGTTGGAAATAGAGTGCTACGTGTCAAAGTTTAGGAAAAAGACAAATTCCACTGTAATTCGTCAAGAATTTAGTCATGAAAAATCTATTTGTGTAGATGGACGATACAAGTTACTAGGTTAATCTTATGGATAACGCCATTTTGTGAAAGCAATCGTAAATTTATGATAACTTAGAAAAACAATTATACAAAATCGTTCTTAAGACGTTGCACGCCACGGAGGTCACCTGTGAACTACGGTAGCGGAGGATTTGCCTTCAATAGTTTTCTGACGGCAGTCAAAGGCTTACATGTTATAACAAAGATTAATATGACATACCGGCTTTAGGATTGTATTTATTATCGGCAAGGTAGTCCCCGAGCCACTGTCGATTCTGTCCCCACTGGGCGCGGCGGCCCCGCAGCGCGCTGGCGGCGCAGATCTTCATCTTGAGCTGTGGCCACTGGTCGCGCGGCACGGGCTTCAGCACAAGGTATGCGCGCCAGCGGCGGTAGGCGGCCTGCAGCAGCGCGGCCGGCACGCGGCGCGGGGCAGCCGGCCACGTGCGGATCACGTTGCGGTTGCGCTGCAACTCCTGCTGCAGCGCTGCGATGTAGCAGCGTAGGCGGTAGCGTCTGTGAGGGAGGAAGCATATTGTTACGTTGTTCATTCTTAACCGACTAACGCACTATCTTATTTGGGCCAGTCCGGAAAAACTGATCTGTTATTGGGAGTACTGAAGCAATAGCTTCTTTTCGTCACAAGGCAACGAAAGCGTATTTCGTCGTGAGATAAGATTATCACAGCACTAGTGACGCAGACGTATCACTAATGAAACAGGTTTTCGAGCTGTGATAAATGGCACAAGATATAATGGAAAATATGAATGGGCCTAATATTGAACCCTGCGATACACCCATTGATATACACTCTGGCACCCCGTAATTTACTTTGTTTAACCACTACTACTTACTTTAACAAATCTAAAGATATCTCCGTATTATTTATAGAGTTCTAGCTTCAGCAATAATGTCTCGTGGTTGTGTTTTAACGAAATCGAAAGTCTTCGAAAGGTCACAAAATATTTCGATAGCAGCCGGTGCTTTTTCCCAAGGGACGTCACTAGTATATCATCACTTGGTGACCAAGTTGGTCATGAAAAATGGAATTCGCGGAGCCTTTCGAACACAATACTGAGCCCCAAACCAAAACCTCTTATCCTCATAATCGCCGGTAATGCAAAGCCTCTGGTTTCGGGCGGCGCCGATGCCGATTGCTTACCATCAGGTAAGGGATAGTCGATAAGCTTGTTTGCCACCGTATCACTGAATAAAGTAAGATGAACAGATCAAATTAAAGACTCATTGTCTTGTCCTCATTTTACGCTATTTTAAAACCCACGCAGGACCAGGAACAATAAAGGCAGCAGTACATCCATTTCAAATTTTTCGATAGTATGAAATCGCATATAGAATAAGTAAAGTTTTTTTTAAGGAAAACGACTTATTTGCGAGAATTAAGTAAGAAAAGCTCTACTATTTTCAAGTCACAACGGAACTCTTATATCCATGAGGAGCATGCGCGTCGCGGCAATGTCGCGAAGCCAATTATATTTATATGAAGAGGGTATGAATTACAAATACAACTTACTTCCAGGCATTGTATATGGTGTATGCGGCCTTCATCTTCTTGTACCGCATGCGCGCGAGGGTCCCCCTCCACAGTTTCTGCAGCAGGATGACGATGGACGGGATCAGCTCGGCGCGCGCCGCCTCCAGCCCGTGCAGGGTTTTAGCACTCCTGTACACGTCACAAGGAATATTGAAAATTAGGTTACCTCTTATTATTAACCTTTAGTGTGAACTTTTAAAGTTGTATATTTCAAAATACCTCTTGTAGATGAAAGTTTGTCAGATAATAAAATATATCTTCTTTTGAGAAAAGGTATCATTTAGGCTAACGGCAACCATGTAATATTATAAAACTGAAGAGTTTGCATGTTTGGTTGAACATACAAATCTCCGAAACTGCTGGTTCGAATTTATGCTTGTTAGTCCATTTATCGAGGAAGGTTATAGGCTATGAGAGATGAGAGTAGTAGGTAGTATGATATTTTTATATTATGGTCTAGGTCTACTAGCTTCTGCCAGTAACGGAACGAAGTTTTAACGTGAATAAGTAGCACGGTAACCAACCTCCATCCATACAAAACTTATAATAACATAAAATACGATTAGAATAAAACTAATACACACCTAATAAACAGTTTAGTATGTCCAAACTGTACGTCAGTGACGTGTAAATCTCTCAGAAGTACCATGACGGCATCCTTGTCTGAATTCCCGCGGAAGTTGGGCCAAGTGTACTGAGACAGCATTTTGTACCGCTTCAGGAACCGGTCGTACCTCTGCCGGGAAGCGAACCCGGCGCGACGTACTCGCACGTTCTCTACCAAACCTAGATAGGCTACTTGGTGACGGACCTGGGTAGGGAAATTGTAGGATTATAAAAACAATTATAGGTACATAGTATAAAACAAAGTCACTTTCTCTGTCCCTATATATCCTTATGTATGCTTAAATCTTTAAAACTACACAACGGATTATGATGCGGTTTTTAATAGAGAGTGATTGAATAGGTGTGTTTATTTTCTTGAGCACTGTAAAGTTCCTCATCCTCCATCAAAAAGTATGGACCCTACGACAAGGCTAGGTAACGGGCTAGGCGGGCTACTGGCGGTTCATTAGTGAACTTCACATGCGTGATGTAGGACTTGTGTGTCGCCATCTGTTGTACATTGTTCATATCTATGTGCGTCGCCACAATATGTATAATACCATCCATGAAATAGTGGATAGATTAAGTATAAAGCGTAAATTAATTTTATAATTCAAGCCTACGTGATTACGAAGACATGACCAATGTATTTATCACGACTGAAAACCAAACTTAGCCATCGTTTGCGCTTACGACCATAGGTTGTCATTTATAAATCTACTAAGTTAAATATTAATCAAACAAAATAATCTAAAAATACTTGCAATAATAGATATTCAACCTTATTGCAACCACAATAGAGTACATACCAGTTGATCGTCCCAGTTGGTAGGCGCCTGGTAAGGGTTGGGTTTGACACAGCGCACGTAGAATGGCTCCTTGCTCTGCAGCCCCGTCACTAGCGCCGCCATTGAGTTGCGGAACAAAGTCGCTGCTGAAGGAGGACGCTTTGATGTCTGAGGAGATAAACAAGCAAAATTAGACTTCATTGTTTTGGACATTAACATTTCGTCTGCTGGTATTTGATAACATTAAGTCCACCTTGTACACAGATGTATGTGCAAAAGTCTAAAAAAATAAATAAAATAAATATATGAGACACAATAGGAACCACATTATGCCTCGCGTAGATCTGCGCTCGAGCATATCACGGGTGAAAAACTGAAGAGGATCTAGCCATTTGACAATTTTTGCTTAAAACAAAAACCACCAGTATCTGAAATTTGGAAGTTTTTTTTTATAGGATAAGGTGATCGAATTTATGTGGCATCATCTAGTGATAAAAATGATAAGTAATCAACGCCGCCCATGGACTGTTACAAGAGTTACAAGAACGTTGCCCTTCATCGTTATTAGCCTATTGTGTCCTACTACAGAGCAAAGGAGCTCTCCTCACTTGGAGAAGGCTTGAGCATTTATCACCTCGCTTGCTCGAGGCGGATTGGTGATATCAAAATTTTACTTAGAAATTAGACATTTAGGTCTAGTTTTCCTCACAGTGTTCTTCTTCACCATCAGTGGGGTCTAAACACACTAGGAAAGTGCATATAAAATTACAAAAGACTTGCCGCTCTTGCATGAGAAGCCCTCTTAACTTTCAGGTCACCACAACAGTATTCAATAAAATCTAGGCCAATATAAAGTAGACATATAGAGACAAGTGCACGAACCTTCTGTATGTGAGTGCCCCCCTCAGGCCACATGTCTGCGAGTGACTCGTTCTGTGAGGAGTGCAGGAGTCGCTTGAGGTCCTGCCACAACGAGTCCTTGTTCTTGTCCATGAAGCCCGTTATAGCGTAAGTCACGTCGCCCGCGTAGTGCCTAATTAAAAATCACACTTGTCATGGCTATATGAAAAATTCAACTTAAATGATTTTTATTATTCCGAACACCCCCGCTTCCCTGTTATGACTAGGTTCTCTTATCGCTTTTCTTAAGGTCACTTAATCGCCAGCTAGGGGATATAATGGCGCACTTAGAGAAATACTTATTTAAGGATCGTCACATAAAATGAATTGGAATAGGTTTTACATTAAAATTTCATAGTCTTTATACTAAAGACTACCTTTAAGAGATTATTTATTTAAAATATGAATTACGATTTCAGTAAGATCTATCCAGAAAAAAGTAAAAAAGGACGCTAAAACTAACTATACTCACGTAATTCTAAAGTCGACGCCATGTTTGAGTTTTTTGTCTGTGGGCGCGAGTTGTCGCGAGGTGTAGTGTTTGTGGCCGTTCAATCTCCTGTCCATTGCTTCCAGTAGTTGTTTATCCGATATCTAAACAAATAAACAACATTATTTATTAAACAAATTTAAAATCTGTGTATATCTGAAATCTAGAAATTAGAATAAGTAAAATCAACTTCAACTGCTTTGGTAATAGGTCGAAATTCAACCTGCAGATTTATTATTGTAATAATACTAATATTTTTCTTTTTACAGACACAGTTCTTGGCTTTTCAGTAGAGGACATTTTAATGCAAAATTAAAATACAATATGAACATTCTGTGGTACAATATTTTACAATATGTAGGATACAAGAAATACGCTAAGCGAATACCGATTTTATTTTAAATTGAAAGAAAATTATTTTATACCAGATTCTGCCCGCCTGTTATGTTGATAAAAAGTAGCCTGTGTCCTATTTCAGAGTGTACCCTATGTCTGTACCAAATTTCATCCAGATCCGTCCAGCCGTTTTGGCGTGATTGAGTAACAAACTTAAAAAACATCGTAACTATTTATAATATTATAGTAAGATTAAGATTTAGCCTGTGAGTGCCAAGGCTCTGGCAAATAGGTTTTTTGCAAGTAAAAGTGATGCATACCTTGGTTGGGTTGAGACAGGCCTCGTCCATGATGGCGATGAGTCCCTGGTGGGGCGCGTCGACCAGCTCGCAGATGACGCGGTTGTTGAAGTACTTGATGGGCGTCCACTGGATGCCCTCGCGCGCGTACTCCTCCTGTTCTTGCTTCAGCACCAGCTCTGCAATCATATGAACATGTGAACCAGTGAAGTCTACATGATATTATCTTGTAGACTTCACTGGAGGACTTTTATTTTTATTAATAAGTAGTTCAAACAAAATACTATAGCACTATTTTCTCTACCTAGAAGATGGTGGTATAACCTTTGACTGCACAACTAACTGTTGGCGCGGTGGCTGGGTAACTGGCAGCCGTGCGACGTGTCGCGGGTTCCATTCCCGCACGGAACAACACTTTGTGTCATCCACAAATTGTTGTTTCGGGTCTGGGTGTCATGCGTATGTGAATTTGTATGTTTGTAAACGCACCTACGACACAGGAGAAAATCCAAGTGTGGGGGCAAAGCTTTCTTTTTTTTAAAAAAAGCCCTTATGTGGTTAGACCTAGAGGTTGATGGTATAGGACCGGTTTTACTTCTGACATGTTTATTCAGAAGCCAATACCGTCACATCAATATGAAATATCAAATAAATAGATCAATATAAAGAATGATTTGGCATATTTCGCTCATTTTCGACCAAACTGTGGGCTGGATCCTTTTTGCATAACTACGTAAGTACATTTATTTTACTTACCAATAAACAGTTGTTGCAGCTTCTCATTGCAGTAGTTGATACAGAACTGCTCGAAACTGTTCGTCTCGAATATCTCGAACCCGTATATATCGAGCACACCAATCAGAGTGCTCTTATACGTGCCGCTGGGGACGTCTATCGCTTTGTTTATCTGTAAACGGGAAAGTGAACTTTAGTGTGTGAAATTTAAGAATGGAATTTATTTGACTATGTCCAACAAGAATTCATATGCTGTAGATTACCTTAACATATAATCTGTAACATTAATGTACAATATTTTTATTACATATTAATGTTTTTTATCATATAACATAAAAAATACATGAATGTTTTCTACTAATAAAGAAAGCTAGGGGTCATTTCAACGCAAATTAATATATTTATGAGTAAACCAACCTGTTGTACAATCCAAGTGAACAGTCTATCATAGGCAGCCTTGGCCAAAGCCAGTCTTGTATAGTTAGCATCCATTAACGAATGCTCCTTGTTCACCAGGTCACCTCCAGCGGATAGCACTCTACCGGCCATGGAGGATCGGAGGGCCTGCTCCGTCACTCCAAGCGCACTTGTACATTGCTTCACTGGACCTCCGATGATTAGCTGGCCGTCTTGGGACTCTGTGAACGTTAACTCGCCCTGGAAGTAAGTTTTAATATAAGCTTTATGCGTAAAGGGGCAGGCGAAATTTAATTTACAAAAAAGGAATCCGAGCAGCCTATGAACACCATAGGAATTACCAGGGGGCGTATTACAACCTTTTTAAAATCCAGTTTGTTTCCTGGCAGGTCAGTTTAAGGCCGTAAACTGCTTGGTTCTTTTTCGTATTATGACGTACGTTTTTCTGACTGGATTCATCCTGGATGATTGTCTGTGGTTGGTTTGCACCGTCTTGAAAGATTGCGTTCGAAAACATCTTAAAAGGGTTACTGGTTATATTACGGTTTTTGAAAATTGAATGTAATATATTATATAATGTAATTTTCTAACAGAATCGATATTAAGAATGAGTTCAAAAACGAATTATGTATTATATGCGTAAGTACAATGTCATAAATATGAAAATACAGCACTGTCTCACAACATACATTTTAGACATACGCTACATTTCTGAACGTAAGTAATAGGAGGTAGGATAGGAGATAACAGCTCACCCGGCAAAAATAAAAGTTTTTTGTTATAATAAGGGTTTTTTAACTAATGAAGTCCATTTATTTATTTTTTAAAGAAGAAGAACTAAAACTGTTTTACTTTGTTGAGCAAAGGAATCCGTTTACATGATCCCTGTTATAAAGTTGTTTATAAATACATATTGTCTACTCAATAATGGCGTAAGTATTACCAACATTATTTATAATAAAATAAATTCAACATCTTCAATCGCAAAAGGGTCACTAAGATCTCAAAGACGCGTCCTCTGAATTTTTGTTTGGTGGTTATTTTGTGACGCATCACTTTCAAGAAACTCGAAGATTATACTCATCACACATATTTAATGTTGTAGTAAACAGTATGTGATAAAAACTTAAAACAATTCAGTAAAAGCTACTCGACACCGGCGTAAACTGACTGGTTTGTTTGACACAATTTTTGACATTTGAACAAGCTAAAAAATGTCAGTTTGGTGGTCATAATACGGGTTTGCCAGCCAATATACGTGCAGAAATCGGTCAAGTGTCACGTGACTGCTAACTGACTGGCAATAAGACGTCATAATACGGATAAACAAGGCAGTTCATTTTAAGGTGTAAATTGACTGGTATTAAGAGATCGTAATACGCCCCCAGTGCATTGGTGCCTTTACCCTATTTAGAGGGTTCTGGGAATTGAGACACACAACTCAACTCTATGGTTGTTTCACGCTACTTTTTTGTGAGGTGGTTTCACTCCGGTCGAGCAGGTTTAAGCTGAAGTATAGCTCTTCCACATTAAGTAGTTATTGATAGAGGCTTATGTTTAGCAATGGACGTCCTATTGCTTATATGGTGATTATGAATTGTCATCTCACAGGCCATGGTGAGGCGCATCCAGGTGATCTGTGGGATCTACCCACCTGATCTACAGTAAAAGAGGTCGAGCATTTGAACCATACAATGGGTACAAATCCAAAATAACTAACAAATAAATGACCTCAATGCAAACCTAAAATTAACTAGCAGTTAAAATCCAACCACTGTTTGAACTAGTAAATTAAATATTTATAAAATGAGACTTACCAAAAGAATAACTCCAGCAACAATACTCCATATATCATTGACGACTGAGTCTGTGAAGCCGAGGGCACTGAAGGCACTGTTCGTCTGAGTGAACAGCTTCGAGTCCTGTGCCGTGGCGCGCTCGTTGCCAAGTATCTGGTAAACTGCACTGGACGAAAGGCCGAACTTCTTTGTCGTCGCGTTATTCGTGCTTAATAACTAGAAAGAGAAGGAGTTAGTTATTATTAGATTAATAATGTAAATTAGATACTAGGTATATCTGTGGATTATGGGTTCCGGTAGAGTTCGAAACTATTCTGCAATGCTCGTAAAAACAAAGTCGTGATTATTTATTTAAAAATAAATATATAGCTTTTCGAGAAGAGCGATTTTGCAAGATATACATTTTGGATTGCTTGTACAAACTACTTATAGATGTTTATGACAAAAAATTTGATAACTTTATTGAAAAGAGGCGACTACTAGGTACACTACAAATCGAAATAACAAACTTTACCCTACCAAAGCATCAAACTAACGCCCTTTAGACTTACAAACCACAAAACGTAGTCTAGTCTATCGTTGATCGTAAACATGTAAGTATTATGTATATAAGAGGCTGCAGTGTTTACCGTCGGTTGATATATTGGCGCGCGTACTCTAACGCGTAACAAGATGATGTTTACTAAATACTACGCCGACAGATGTTACTGAATATTGATACCTACTGTAATAATTTTGTCCCTATCAGGATCTCCAGGTTAAGGTATAACTACATATTTTTCATATATGATATAAATGATGATAAGATATCATGGATATTAAAACTTCTTTTTAAGGACTTTTTTTTTCGAAAACGAGCAGACGGATCACTAACTATTAATTTAATCGGCAAGAATATAGCAATTGGCGTCGCTCATTGACACCCGTAATGTAAAGGAGTTCCAAATGCGTTGCAGGTCTTTTGTGGATGGTAAATTTATGAGGATTTGGGGATTGGAAAAAAGTGGAGGGGAAGTTTGAATAACTTCGCTCACACAACGAAACTCAACGCTAGTCCACACTTCCACGCCCGGCATCTTCCTTAATATCCATCTATTCTAATATTAGCTCGAAACCTGTACATACCAATTTAAACTCGTATTTCTACCAGCCTTACAAGGTGTTTCAGAGTATAGTGATCTATCTTACCCTTCCACGAGGTTTTAATAATATTTGTGCGTGGTGTAAGTTTGCGCGGGATCCGAGAACAAGAGGATCAATTGTTTATAATAATTGTTTATTGGAATGTATTATCAATGTTAATCTCAATTTTTATTAACTAATGTTACACAAGTATGTTAAAATAAACTGTTAAATGTTTAATGTTACGAATGCACTCGGATCGTACAGTGGCTAGAAATGCACTGAAGCGTTTAGGTAAAGTAAAGTGACAATACAACTAAATGCTGTGTTCGTCAAGTGTTCGGTAGCGTTAGACCGAACAACAATCTCATCCTCAACTTAAGAATGATAATTTAAAATACATTGACAGACTATTCATCCGGAACAATAAGAGAAAACATACTAATATTATAAAAGCGCAGAGTATGGTTGTTACATTTCACGTTAACACAACAAAAACAAGTGAGGATAGCTCTCAAATTCCAGGACCAACATTAATTATATTCTTTTAAGCCAAATATTAGGAATTCCGCTAAAACATAATAAATTTGACAACAGTATGGCGGACAATGCACGGTTCAGGTGACGTCATCGAACAATTATTGGCAAAACGATGATATAAGACGCTTATTTATAAATATTACATCTAATGAAGTAGAAGAGAGACACAAGTATATCGGATGCTTTGGAATAACTTCATTATGTATTATGCTGGCACCACACACTTTGAACTCAAAACGATTTTGATATACATTGTTGTTATTCTGAACCTATTAAAGTCCATTCCGCATTGTGTGACTGCAATGTACCTCGTCTCGCGGTAGTGTGGTGCCGGCATTACTTGTGTGACCCCTTTTTTTAACGAGAATAGTCTTACAGTCTACAGTATCACATCAAATCATCAGCCTAAAAGTGCCTACTGCTGAGCAAAGGCCTCTTTTCAAACAGAGAAATTTTAAGCATTATCACCATGCTTGCTCAAGGCGGAATGGCGATTTCAAATTTATAATTAAGAATTATAAGGCCAGGTTTCCTCACGATGTTTTCCTTCACCGTATGTCAGTGGTGTCTAATTAATCATAGAAAGTACATATAGTATAACTCGGAAAACGTCACATTGGTACAGTGCGGCCGACGTATCTTGGCGAGTCTGAAGTTAGCCGATTAGCTGCGCAGTAGACAATTTTGTACCTAAAAGATCCATTGCGCAGACAAACGGCTAACTTCAGACTCGCCAAGATACGTCGGCCGCACTGTACTAGGCATAAGAAATAGACGGGCGCCTTAACCTCCGGGCCGCCACTACCTGTGGTCTACAATATAATTTTTAATTTAACATTTAGGTGATTAACGCTTGAATATTTCTCACCTGATAGAATGCATGGAAGTTCCTCTCCCCTGGTTGTAAAGAAACCACTCTGCTCTTCTCCAGCAGATAGTTGCTGATATGTCCACCCACAGGATCACCTTTGTAGTCAAAATGGATATCCATATATTTGCCAAACCGTGACGAGTTCCCGTTACGATTCGTCTTCGCATTACCGAACGTTTCCAATATCGAATTCGACTGGATTAGTACATTTTTTACCCTGGAACAATATAAATAAGTACTATTATACATTTAAAGGAATTACAATCGCTCTTTATTATTTTGATTGCCATTGTTTTTAACGGAACTAGTTTCTTGAATTTAAAATGAACAACCATCGCTAATGATTTCCCAGAAGGGGTTCCGCACACCTTAATTAAAATAATTGTTTACGAAAATGACATAGGGTGGGTGATACTAGTGACATTGCTAGCTATCGTGGTTCTGTTAACGACGAATACAATAATAACAATAACTACAGTACCCGTAACTTACCTGTCAATATAATCCCTGTGAACTTGTGTTGTGTTTGCCGCGATGTATTTCATTATAAACTTGGACGCCTCCGTCTTCCCTGACCCTGACTCTCCAGATATTAACACGCATGTGTCTTTACCCTGAAACAAAAATATTAACGTATAATGGCCAGCAATTCACCATACTCTTGAAAAATTTCTTTATTAGGCTTCCTAGTTTGCCCCAGCAGCCAGCAGCAGGAGAAGGAACAGGGGGGTTTTTAGTCAGCAAGATACTGACCCTGTCTCTCGCCTCACCCTAGGCGGGAGAAGTCATTTGATGATTTTCCCCTGACAAAAAAAGGCTTCCAACTTTGATTTAACATGAAGTCTAAATAACCACTTTCCATCTAATGGATAACTATAAAAAAGTGCCCTTAATAGCTATGTAGTAACCCCTAGTTGCTTGTTTGTTGGACTAACCTCGTATTGGAGTTATTGTACTCAACAATATTGGAACTCTGTAGCTATAGCTTGCGCTGTAAGAAGCGTGCACAACAAAATACAGTGGGTGGTCGTCTGAAATATACAACTCTTTTACGATATTTAATTTTGATAAGCATGTAAAAGCTATCCAGAATGCACTACAAAATACAATCGAAGTTTAAATTTTATGGACACGTAAACACTAGTCTTTTGAGGTGCCAATACTGCGCGATAAAGTATCATAAGAAAATGTAAAGTACGCTAAAATCCGTTTTTGAATTTACAACTTCAATTTTGGTGTTGGAAAAGGAATCTTGTGTGTTGGGATTTAAGCTTCAATTTTACTTTTAGCTTGTATCAAAGACAGTTGCACTGAGGATATAAACGCTAGGGTTTAGAGGCAGCAACAGTTAAAGTCAGATCGCACTAAAGCTTTGTCTGTGTTATAAAAGAAAAGAATTTCTTGGGTAAAGGTTTACATTTGCGTCAGGTGTGGAGTGATGTGTATAAATTTTACTTTTTTGTATAAAAAGGTTGCAGATAGCTAGAAACATTAAAAGGCTTCAAAAATAATAGACCGATTTGAAAAAATATTTTACTGTTGCTAAGTTACACTGTCCCCGGTGAACATAGACTATAAACTATTCTCGTGTACTGCGGGGCTTATACTCAATGACGTATTATATATAGACACGTCATGAACCAACATCGCGGCGCTTAAAAACGGCGAAAATACTAGATAACTACTTCTACGAGTAAAGAAAGGGAAAGAAAATATGACATCGTATAGTGGAATGCCTTTGCTAGAGGGAGATAAATATACATCTTCAGTTATGCCGACGTCACGTGACTATACCTTCATGCGCCGGCCGCCATAAGATGGCGGGCGCCGGCGTCGAAAAAAATAAAATAAAAATAGGTTGTTTGGTGAACTTACGCATGAAATGACACATTTTTGTCTTTAACTTTTGGAGTATAATTTATACATCGTCTGAACACACACGACGACATGCTTTCTTTATGTTTCGCACAGGTTTACACACAATATAAATTAAAAACAAACGTAGCGTCGCGCGGCAGGTTGGTGCGTAACTAAGCGCAATGTTGTCAATTGCCTTCATTTCATGTTGTCATTTTAGAGCGCGGACAACGTATCTATAGTTTTATACATCATTGCTTATACTTTATAATAATATATCACTAGCTTTCTCAGCGACGTTGCCCGCGTGGTATGTTGATAAAAGTAACCAATATGTTAATCCAATTAAATTTCAACCAAATCGTTTTAGCCGTTTTTGCGTGAAAAATAATAAAGATACATCCATAATTGTCACAAACTTTAACATTTATAATATTAGTAGGATGAATTTATAATAAGGTTTCTTACCTGTTGCCGAAGAACCCTTTGGCAGGCGTCAGCAACGGCGTAGACGTGTGGTGTGACCTCAAACATCTCCCGGCCCCTGTACTGAGCCATATGCTGCATGCTGTAGATGTCTAAGTTCTTGTAAGGGTTCACGGAGACCAGCACCTCGCCGATGTATGTGTAGATTTTGTTGTGTTGAAACCTGATAACAAGGGAATAGGAGGGTAGGTAAGTAAACTTAAAAAAGTACTTCAGTCATATTATTATTTCAAATACTATATTATAGACCTTGTTAGTTTTGCATTAAGGTCCATATTGAGCAATGTTCTAATATTCGACCCTACATAACTTAATTCAGGAATCACTTATCTCTATGTAATCACATAATAATAGGTTGTCTTTTGATCTTAACTTTAACTTGAGCTAGGCGCGTGGGAGGCGAGTCATCATAAACAAATTCATTCATTCATTCATTCTGGAGTCCACATGAGGACAAATATAAGTTCATGATAGAACGAATCCAAAATAAGTTTGCCAGATTCATGTATTCAAAATCGTACGGTATATACCCTGGATACCCAATACCATATCCAACTTTGTTTGTACTGGGTATGGTAGGATACTACAAACTGGAGGTGAGGCGTGAAGTAGGTCTAGCTACTTATATGTTTAAGGTGTTGCGAGGTATAACGCACCACCCTGCCCTACTGGAGGAATTACACCTGTGTGTTCCGAACGGGTACGTGCGGCGTAGGCGGCGGCCGCGGCTGCTGGTGGTACCGTGCGCACGCACGAACCTCTTGCAGAAAGCACCAATGACGCGAGCGTTGCGCATATTGAATGCAATAGCGGACAGTACGGATATATTCTCGTGTACACTCAACGAGTTCACAAAGGTAGCATATGAGGTTATTGTGAATAATAACTAAGTTCCTAGGATTGGTACTTATTTGATTCTATTTATATAATTTATGTTGTTAGTAACTAGGTACATAGATTTTAAAATAGAAGTACATATTTGTTATTACTAAAGTTATTTACGTTTATTAGGGATAGTTTTGTGGAAATGTATTAGCCTGTTAGTTTAATTAAGGTTCTTTGTGCTTATGTTCTTTTGTTTTTCTTTGTCTAAATTATTTTACGGTTATTACCCGGATATTGTGTTATAAGTTTACTAATAATATGTAACTGCATTTATCGTATTAGGTGTGCCTGTAATGATGAATGTAATGTTTAAATATAAATAAATAAATAAATAAATAAATTTATGGCGCGAAGATAGTACCTAAATGAATACACCATAAAGACCTACAGGTATGGACATCTGCCAAGACATAGTCAAGATAAGCCAACAACTTGTAAAAATGAAGTTTTTTATTTGACCCTTAAATTTTTAATACGGCTGTTGACAACGACAATTTTGAGATAGGTAGGTACACAGGATATTCTGATATACGGTCTTGACTGCACAGTTGGCGCGGTGGCTGGGCATGTGGCTGCTGCGCAGGTCGGGTGGCGGGTCTGAGTGTGATGTGTATGTGAAATTGTATGTTTGTAAACGCACCCACGATACATGATAAAATCCTAGTGTGGGGCAAAGTATTATTAAAAAAAACATACATTTACGTTAAATCGTCACTTAATTAAATGTTATTAACCTACTTCACAAAAGAAATTCTCGTATGACCTGTATGTAAAGGTATTTAACCTTCATATGTATGTTTGTTCACAGTTTCAAAACCATTATTATAATGTATTCTTAATTCCTTAAGTCTAACTTATGTCATGTTCTGCCTGTACGAACATCGTTTAACAAAAATGGCGCCGACTCTGGAGCCAACCCGACCCACGCAGATAACTTAATCATTTCCTTAACACCGATGACATAATGCCCACCACGACACGGTAAACAAATGAGAAATAATTCAAATAATACTTTAAAATCAATTAATAGTAATGACAAATGAAGTAGAAAATCTTTGAATGGCATGTCTGACGCGGCTCATTGCGTCCATTAAGATTTTAACACGGCTCGTTAAACAATTTGTTGTGAGCTGTTAATGCTGATCCGTTCACCAGTACCTACCGATGGTTCTAGGTGCAAAGATTAAAAGATGGGATATGTGCTACATCTGTACACATAATATACACATGAATCAATGCATTTATATTTGCAAATACGCCATAAAACAGCACTACAACATGTCAAATTTGTATATGTATAAAAACTAGATGAAGCCGGCATTCCCGGAGATGAAATGTCGAAACAAACTCAGAGGCGATATAAAAGTTCATTGAATGTAAAAAAAAATATGATCGAACACAATTATCATTAGTAATCCCACAAAAAAGAGAATCTTATAAAATATGTGCTTTCAATACGATGTTTTCATCCAAGATTTTTGAAAGCATAAGGAGTAAAGATATGTTGTCTGTGAAGGCAAAACTGGTTGCAGTACGAATGTACCGATCTGCCACTGTGTACCATTACGAATACAATCAATAAAACTTAATAAAGTACTTTGTACAGTACCATAGCCCGATTATAATCACGATAATATCATCAATGACGCATCAACAAGAACCAATACACTGTTAAAACATTTTCCATTTACCTAATGGAACAAATAATACTTTGGCTACAGCAAAAACTATTTTGGGCATAACTTTCAGGCAATTTGAATACGAAAAGTATGGCGATGATGCCGTGCCGAAATTCATAAGCTGCGAGGTTATTAGGCCATCGACCTGGTGCACGCGACAATGGCGGAGTCCACCAGATGCTAACCTAACCGTTGATGTGACGGCCAAATACGTTACTTTACATCCTCACGTAGTTAAAACTGATGATGTAATGCAATCTGGTTTTCTATACGATATAATCAACTGAAACTATGATACTTTACCAAGTCCGTTGCTTGATTATTTAAGTAATGGCAGTGTTTAAAATCAGGTCAAATTTATCCTCAATCTTCAAAGTAATATCCATTACTTCACCAAAAGACTGTCTTGAGTCTTTCATTTCTATCACCTTAAGCATTTCTCGGCAACTACGACCCTTGTGCTCAAGCAGAATGAAAGTAGGGCAGCGTTTTATGCACGAACTTAACCAAGAAATTCCTTACTCATAGTTCCTATCACAAGTACAACTTAGCTATAAAAACAAACAAAGTAGGTACCTACTCATAAAAGCTGGTTAAAAAAATCATTCGATGACTCACCCGAAACAAGAAATCGATTACGAATTTATTATAGATACATGCATATGTATGCTATGAGTAAGATCATTTACACATCCATTACTATCCATAAATATGTATTCAACCTTCAACGTCATCATATTTTCATCCGATCGGAAGCTTCCTCTATTTTGAATAATTTTTATGTATATTAACAGTCGTGTCTTATAAGATCATCAAAACCTATCAAAAAATGACCTGATTGTTCCTGGGGCCTGGAACAATTTGATATAGACTTTACACACCCATTTATCATCTTCACGTCCTGTGCCGACTTTAAATCAATACTTTATATATTAGGAATCCCTTGAGGAAATGAAAATAGAGCATGCTAACATGATTCCTACTCAAAGAATTTTTAATTAATCAAGTTAATAGTTTTATTCTATTTCGAAAATCATTAATCCTGCAACGAATATCGCGGAGAAATCCGTTAACTTACAAAAGCATAGAACCAAAACAAATCGAAGCGTGTAAAGCTCGGCGCACGCGCAGGTGACGTCATGTAGAGCGCGCGCGCAGCCCGAGCGCCTCGCAGGCCGGTTTTTAGTTCAAGAGCAGAGACCGAGGTCAGCTGTACCATGATCTTAGGACATATGCTACATTCCCGGCTGTCGTGGCTACTGGTGATACAATAGGCTCCCGGATTAAGTAGATTAAGCTATTTTAAGGCGTGACTTGACATTATTACTCGTAATACATATAATACTGAACAAAGTAGTTTAACTAACTATACTAAAGTTCACTGGAGATAGTGTTGTAATCTGTGTTATATATCATAAACTCTCTTGATTCTATTATTCTGTTTGGACGACACAAATTGTAATAAAAATAAACTATGATTATTATTTTTAGAAATGTTAATTTATCCACTATGCAGTTGACGACTAATCATGATGACAGACGACTCATTATTACAAAACTATTTTCAAGGAAGCAGCTTAGAACCTTGGTTTCAATTCGTTACCCATAGAATTAATTACTTGCAGTCTGGACGCGATGTAACACCTGTCATCACCTTGAACCTATCCAAAAAGTAAGAAGTCACCACACAATGTGGACCCTGCATTGTATGCTAATGTTACTTGGAAGAGAGACCAAAAGGGCTTGGACACCACACGAAGATTATAATGTCAAAGCAAACATTACAAGCTATTGAGACTTCTATTGACTAACGGTTGAGTCATCGACTAGTCTGCCATGCATCATGATCTACTATGACTAAGTCATGAGCTTGGGTGTAAACATTGTAATAGCACCACTATTATCGCAGTAAAAACTCTTATTATAAACTTTAAGTCATACAAAGAGGTTCCCATAATTAGTTGTTCATTTGCATTCCGTTAATTACTGTTCACGGCATCTAGAGACGAGTTTGAAGGTCGTTGGAAATATTCAACAGAGAGTTATTGCTAAATTGTTATAAATATACACAGTTTAAGTGACTTCATTATACTTATTCATTTAAACCAAATAGATATAACATATGCTCCACTTATAAAACCACATTGTGTGCATGAATACGAGTATAGGGGAATTGCTAAATACATAACCATTATACATTTTCCGACTAGTTCGTTTTATTTAAAAGCCCATAACACGTAACACACAATACTAGAAAATATTGTAACCGATTCAATGGTTGAGGTTGAATGATTTCATTCCTACTACTAATAAAACATGATTCTTACGAACCTTGTTTTACGTATTATTAGGTCAGGACTTCCCAAAATGACTCACCTTCATTATGTTGAATGTAACCACATCAACCCTACCCATATTTTGCCCTTTAAATAATACATGGTTGTTCATAGTGACTTCGATATGCGGTAAAATATAATTCTAAAAGTGGCAAGCCTAAGTATACAAAATACCAAAAAGTCTTCGACTTAAAAATACACTGCAGTGTTATATTTAAAGCCGATCTAAGATAGAGGGAGAGAGCAGAGAGAATCGACTCCAG